TGACCTGCGGACCTGAAAAGCAATCCCAAGCAAGCACTTTTGGTAAGGAAGCACTGCATGAAGTTTGAGTTTGGTCGGCCAAAGGAAACGCAAGTTATCGCACAAAAACAGATTTTCTATTTATAGTAACAGTGACCTTGACCTTTTACCTTCGGACCTGTAAAGCTATCCCAAGCAAGCACTTTCGGTAAGGAAGCACTGTATGAAATTTGAGTTTGATCAGCCCAAGGAAACTCAAGTTATCGCACAAAAACAGATTTTCTATTATAGTAACAGTGACCTTTACCTTTGACCTTCGGACCAGTAAAGCAATCCCAAGCTAGCACTTTTGGTAAGGAAGCAATGCATGAAGTTTGAGTTTAATTGGCCCAAGGAAACTCAAGTTATTGCACGAAAACCTGTGTGCGAACGCCGTCGCCATAGCAATATACCTATGTGTCACCAGCTTTTCGCAGGCGACACAAAAATCTAACCAACAGGTATGGAGAAGTTGCTTTTACAATGTTTTTGGAGCAGAAATTTGAAATTTCAAAGGCGATAACTCTAGGAAAAAACGTCAAATCACAATGTACTTTCACTGTTGTGACCAAAAAATTCCAATTAACAGTTTAGGAGGAGTTGCACTTATGAGGTTCATGGAAAGAAGGACAGATGGACAGACAGGGTGATTTTTATACCCCCCCCAAACTTTGTTTGCTGGGGTTATACGTAAAATCATGACAGTCATGCTTAGAATTATCGAAAAATTACCAAAACCCACTTAAAAGGTATTTTGTCTTAGTGAGTTTATGAGGTGATTACTAGTGGTGAATGTGCAAGCTACATTAACTGTTACATTGGCTTGTGATCCAAGTCAGATATCTCCTCATAAACAAGATAATACAGGAAGACTTATCTGACCATTTTTAAAACAATCATGTGTAGTTGGTTAAATTCAATAAACAGCCTGAAAATTCCATTGAATAGTTATCCCGCCCACATGTATATAGATAACGAAACACATGTCAACAATGGCAAATTAGCCTAAATCTTCATAACGTATTTCACTGATGTCACAGTATTTTTTTGAACATTTCCAACTATAGTAATGTTTTTAAAATGAAGCCAATGTTACCAACCTACTTTGGTTAGTATCATGCATTCCTAAAACTCCAATTTTCTGTCTACATTTTTGTTTTTTTTATATAATCTGATTTTACATTAACGACACTTGATATCTTGTTCTGTTATTAGTTTTCCAATATATCACATGTAAGATATAAATAGCCCATGCTTAAACCTATGAGATGTTGAGAATCATAATGAATTTTCTTGTACATGTACCTGGAAATAACCCTGACAAGGGTTTTTTCACACTTTCCATTGACGTAGAACAAAATCACAAACAAATTCCAGCTTTGTAACATCATAACAAGGGTAGAAGTTAACTTTCAATTTCTTTAAAAGTTACGTACACATCCAAGTGTACATACTGAATACTCAAGTTTTAGTAATCACTAAACGCTATTTATTTAACAGCAGGGATGTTTTATTATATACTTTGGAGTATTAGGGAGTATTAGCGTACAGACAGATTTTGAAAAAGGTACAAGCTCAACCAATATTTTTACAATAAATATGGAAACTTTTCACAAGCTCTGACATAATCGTAATAAGCCCTAAACATAGGGCTAGTTGCCTTGTACATGTATCCCAAAACTAAAAAAACAGTATTTCTGTTAATGTCAAATATTGTTTAATATCACATGTTCCTGATATATGAAACATGATATAAAGAGGAGTTTATATATTATATAGCAATCAGTGCCTATATAAAACTTCTCGATTTACCAAAGTAGGACATAATAAATGAACTTGGATCAATTTATTCTTCCTCCTGACAAAATCCTCTCCCTATTTGAATGTCTTTCTTATTCAGTACAATGATTTAAATTATACACCTTAACATATCCGACGACAAAGGGACCTAACAATGTATACTACAAGCTAGGCAAATATTCTCACAAGTAAAAATACATACACACAATAATCCTGGCTTATTTCAATAAAATAATTTCTTATCACAAAGCTGTGCTCTACCTCTTTTGAAGAAATGGCACACACTCAAATCTAATAAATATCTGGTGCCCACTTAAACGATCTAACTGGTTTAGTACCTGGACTGTTATTCATAATATTTTGCATAACGTTGGTATCAATATTTTAAGGAGCATATGATATACTTTGTAAAACAATTGAATTTTTATTTATATCATTTAATAAAATAATCAATTCATTATACTTATGGTTTAACTAGCTATACTTGGCCCATTCTTTCTTTAAGTTTTAATCAACAGTGGCGTAGCAAATCAATTTGCAGAGTGTATGCTGACAGAGGGGGTCGAGCATCCGAAGCGCGTAGTGTCGGAGGAGGGGGAGTTCCCCTCCCATAGCTGAAAAAAAATGAATTGTACTAGGCCCTAGAAGCAATCTCTTGTATTCTTGGAATTCCTTTTAGTCTGATTATTAACAAAGTGGAAAATAAAGGGGGGGGGNTACCGGAGTATTCTAGCAGAGCTCCATAGACGATAGGTAATAACAACTTGATGAAGGATGGAGCATCAACGCCAAGGATTCCGTAGGTTTAGAATTTATTAGTTTACATGTCTTCAGAACGATTCTGAAGACGGTTGGCCTAGCCAACCGAAACATGTAAACTAATAAATTATAAACTTACGGAATCCTTGGCGTTGATGCTCCATCCTTCATCAAGTGATTATTAACAAGTAAAACCCGACTTTTTATATGAATATTATTAAATTTTGAACTTCACTTAGTAGTTTTTGATTTACATAAACCTGCGAGATTTGTCAATGTGTATAGACATAACAACACTAATTTATCAGACTAAGATTTTAAAGAAGATTTTTTTTCATCCTGTCCTTTTTTAATGATTGATACGGACAGTTCATATTTATCATAAAAAAATGAAATTAATAACATAATATGATTTTTAAAAAATCTAGAAATTTTTAGTGTATGCTTGAGCATACAAGCATACATGTATGCTACGCCACTGACCAAGCCTTATTACGTAGTAATAAGAATGAGTATTGCTAAATTATCAATCAGTGTCTAATTATGTCTAATCAAGTGTGCTACTTATTTGACCCCTGTGTCTATGGAAATGATCAAAGTCACTTGTTTGAACAAACTTGTTAGCCCTTCACCCAAATAAAATTGCTTACAACAGGCTAAAATATCAAAGACTCTAAAGCATGGCAGTTACTCAGAGGAAGTAGTTTATAGGTTTCAAAACACTTGACCTTTGTGATCTTGAAAGTGGGTCAAGGTCATTCATCTAAACTAAATCAAAAAGTAACGCCCCAGCATGCTACAGCCCAAATAACTTGACCCTAGGCTTTTGGGTTATTGAGAAATTGATATTTCAAAAAGCCAAACCAAACGGAAGGGCAAAAGCTCACTCGCTCTGTGTTAGGTGACCTAAAAAACTAGAATGAGAAATTAGCCTTCCTCAGAGGAAAAACATTGACAGTTTGGTTTATAAGTTAGCTGTCTACTCATCTATGTAGTATGTTTCTTTTAATCCAATTAGCAAATTTAATTGAGTATTTTCCACATCAAGAATTTCCATTGGTACAGATCGGTACATTTCAAACTAAAAGTGCTTGATAACAACAAAAAATTTAGGACACCAAAAATGTATGGTTAGTAGGTGTATGTGAAACCTGTACATGTACTAGACAGTTATTCTGATATTGGAGCCTTAGCTAAAAGGGTGAAATAGGATATGCTCGGGGTAGGTAGGTGGGTGGGTGGTTGGATGGGTGGCTGGGGGTTAAATTCCCTTTAAAACAAGGATAATATATAATTATATATATTTATTTTTAGACTGGTATGCAGTTCACACAAAAAGACTTCAATGCCGTTTACTTAATAAAACTGTGATTTTTCTCGTCAGGTTATTCTGAAAATGTGTAATTGATCATAATTTGGTTGTACATACAATAATAAAACAATCTCAAACTCGTCCCCATCAATCTTGTTTTTTAATAAATATTCTTAAAATAAAACAGGACATTGTTTAAGTTCCTTTATTTCTCTACGTTAAGACTTCCAGAAAGACATATTTCTGGAATCATGAGGGTTAACTTAATACAATGTCCAAGTCCATGACATATCAGATATTTACTGTTTTAAGATATGAAACCGTAGCCTTGATATTTCAATGTCAAAGTGTAACTTAAAGTAAAATGACACAATATAAATATACCTGGTAAATTAGCTATAATTTCAATAAAACCCTCTTAAGTTGAACGAATCGAAGTATTTCTCCAACAAATTATTTTGTCTCGACCTCCATAATCTTGATTGCTTTCCGGACTTAATTCAAACACATGGCTAGCTAGCTCAAATCTTTTTCCAAGTTAAGTTGATTTATGATTAATTTACCTAGCCAAGTTATGCAAGATTTTAAATAAAAAGAAAAACCAAACATGTCAGAATTGAAAACATTTGTTTACATCAGTCTAAAAATAGGTGCTAGCGTCAATCAGTCTTCATGGTTTAGTGTATTTTTTAAACGTAGACATAAAAAGACACCAAAATTATAACAAAGGGCAAGATATTATCATATTTTATTTCTGATTTAAAAGTCTTTGTCAGCCATTGTTGACCTTAATTCATGTTAATTGAAATCTGGCCCGACACACTCCACACGAAATTTTTGAAAAGTATTTTGTTTGAAATTCTTTTAAAACATCTGCTAATTATATATATAATTCCTGAAATAGTATAAAAAGTAAGAAAACTACACCTCTAAAGGAGAAATTGAAAAAATATATATATATAATTATATATTATTGATCATTTTTAATATTATTAATATACCGGATTATTGTGACCTTTCGTGATGTTTAATAATGGCACAGGGATAGAGTCGTTGTAGAGTGTGGTAATGAATGGAATTGATCTTAAGAAAAAATGTGTAATTATCTGACCTGTTGAACCATTTTCATCCGCAGCCTGGTCATGTAATCATGGACACTGTCTGTGTCCGTGGCAGCCATTTTTCCTCCGGTTTCCTTAGCGACACAACACACTTTTTTGACAGTTCATGTTCCTTTCATATCCCTGGGATAGAATCCTTTCATTGGGTTCACCTGTTTGGAAATTCAAAACACTTTGTTGAACACTCTATTGAAGATAGTATTGACATGAACCGGGTCGGTCCACTTGACACCCAGGGGAGTGGCAGGTCTTACCTTTAACAGGTAGAATGATAACGTAAGAACCTATATGAGAGATAAAGAGTGCATCTCTTCATACCTAGTTCCTTTTACTTAGTAAATCTACCTGAGTCTTATTGAAATCCCGCAGATAGCTTAACGGAAATTTACCTCAATTTCTATTTTCTATTTTCTTACCCCTTCAAATGAAACACCATTGAATATTTCTTACTCATAATTTCATCAGACATTGGGTTTAGGCTGCGGTCATAAATTTTAATCTAATTTATACTTTTAATCCAAATTTTGAACTTGTATAATTTTTTGTTTATTGAGCGTTAAGGTGACCATACTTTCTTATAAGCGGTCCAACCCTAAAGTTACAAGCTACGAATATTAAAACTTTTATCAACAGAAATTTTAAATAACTTTACTTGGAGGGATTTCCACCAAATTGATTTCTGACTGATGGCTGTATACAAATGGACGTGAGATGAAAGTCCTGTATAGGTAGAGCTAAGACACGGTAAATCTTTAAACCACCCTAACGGACAGATAATGTCTAGAACTGATCCATAAAAACATTTTCTCAATGATCAGAATAACGTAAATGTACACGTATACAAACAAATGGAGGTTTTGCCGTGGTAACACATTAACATATATATGTACAGAGGTTTTTAAACATTCTTTGTGAGAAGGGTTTATTATTTACTGTAGCTACATAGGAAATGACAGCCATTTTCTGTAATGAGATCTGTTTACATACATTTTAGAAAGTTAACCCTTTAAAGGTAAGTTTATCTGCATTGAAATGATATGGACACCCAATCCTTGACCATATACCCTTCCCCATATTCCTCATTCCGAACTCAATAAAAAAAATCTTATGCTTATCGAAAGACGTGATTATTATCAGAAAGGCACAGTAGTTAGAATTTAGGTTTATGTCTGAAATAAAATATTGATTATTAACCTAAACACTGATCAACTCAAAAATGAATAAAAACCCTTAGGTATTCAAAATACTTTACAGAAAATGCTTATTAACCTAAACCCACTACTGAATGTGCAAAAAAACATCTATTCAAAACATTTTATTTAAATTTTTATTTCATGTACTGGGTTTCCGAATGCTTGGCAAGGGGTACCCAAACCTGGGTTGTAAATAGTGTTGTTTTCAGAGAGCAAAGTCTTAGGAAGAAGAGGGAGGAATGTAACAGAGCTTGACTGGGTTGATTGCCGCCAAATAGGTAGATGGTAGATCGACTGACTAGAGTTTGGGAGGTCCTGGGTTTGAATCCTGATCAGGTGACGATTCGTGCAATTCTCTGTCCTGTCAAAACATTTTATATTGTCAAAAAATAAGACAATTAACTGAAGCAGTTATAACTTAAGTCATACTCATAGTGAAACCTAACATTCAGCACAATTAAAAGAAAAAATGTAAAACTCCCTAAAATTTTATATTTTGGGAAGAACGCTGAATATGCTTATCATCTAATATATAGGATCTGGCAAGTGAAAAATATAAACGAAGGGAGACAACTCCTGCTATCCAAGTGAACACATCTACATATGGAGGAGTTTAAAGAAGTCCTAGACTAACTTAGACATATACAGTGGCGGATCCAGAGACCTATCTGGGGGGGTTTCCAAATTTCCTGGGGGGGTTTCCATGTGGGGAAAATTGAGGAAAATGGTGAAAATACATGATTTTTAAAGAAAATTCTCAGGGTGGGGGGGTTTCCTGAAGCCCAAAAACCCCCTCTGGATCCGCCACTGATATAGGAATTGAACATTGAACATGTTTTAATTGTTTCTACCATATGTGTGTGTGGGAGGGTGGGGGAGGTAGGCTATTGTTTAATTACAGCCTAAGTGTTTTAATCCTCTCCAACATTACATGTCTAAAGAGCACAGCATTTTTTCTCAGAGATTGAAAAATATAAAAAAGATACTCAAAGTATACAATTAAAAAAAACTTGTTTTGGATGCATCATAAAATGAAATGATATTATAACAGGACTTGTAGTGTGTCAGGTATTATTCCAACACTCCCTTTTCTATGACTATGTTATAACTGATAAGTCAACCGACTTAAAGTAATAAAGAACTTGAACTTGAACTTGATATTGTCTCTTACTTCTCATCACAAGCTTATATTGTGACTATATCTTGACAAGTTTTAGAAGTTATAGATTCTAGAAATTGACATAATAGAAAACTAGGAGGGTGATATAAAATTTGCTTACACTAAAGAAATATGTTATTTACATTGTGACAAACACTAGGTTTGACTACAAATCAGATTGGTTAACATTGTGCACTAAATATCACCGGATCAACATTCAGCTGTAACAATTAACATACCTTTTTGATTTCTGATCGCAAACAGTTAACCGAAATTGTGGACATGCACAACTATATATATTCCTGCAATCCTCCGATGTACATGCAAGCCCCGCAATACCTAAAGGATGTTGTCCGACCAGGGGGCGTTGCCTGCACACACTCATTAACACCAAATTGACAGTAATTTGACAAGTCACAGTTCTTTCCCCAATTCCAATGGTAAAGCATTAAGCTTAACTTTAACAAATCTTTCTCCATCATAATATTATCTTATATTGCACAATTCAATCATTTTTAATAAAATGAAAATACCAATTATGCACAATCATTCAACAACCTCAAAAAAATATTTTGTTTTTGGTAAAAAGGGAGTCGATCATTTGTCATATTTGTCTGTTTCAATAGAGTCTCAATTATATATTTGTCACTGCCTAAGTTTATCAACACGTGAACATCTCTGGGATTCAAACACTCAATCCTTTTAGTTGTTGTTTTATTACATTTTTCACAACACTAAATAGATCTCATATATTAAATGTATTTAATAGTACATTTAGTCAAAACAGGACAACCCCAAACCTCGTTTCAGTCATTTTGAAAAACTGTTATATAAGAATACTGTCATTTTCCCTTAATTAGAAAGAGCCAATGGTGTCACCATAGACAATAATTTACAGTGGTGACTACACGTCGACAACATTGCTAGGAAGGCCAATAACACCACAGCATTCCTTCGACCTAATCTCTCCAGCTGCCCAAGACACATCAAGGCTACTAGCTTCAAAACCCTGGTCAGACCACAGGTGGAGTACACGTCAATGGTATGGAACCATACCACCAGGTCCCATGTCAACACCATTGAATGTGTACAGCCTCAGGCAGCAGCACGATACAGCATGGTGGACTAAAAGCGGGGAGAGCAGTGTTACATCTATGCTACAGTTTCTACCCCATAAGACACCTTGCGCCTGTGTAGAACCCACACTCGAGCGACTATAATGTTTAGGATAGTAAATGACCTCATAGACATACAATTCACCTGGCCTCTTGTCCTAACAGCACCACCAGGGGTCATCCTATCACGTACCTTCAGCCATACTGTAACATCAAGAATAACCAGGACTCCTTCTTCCCAGCCAGGGTGGAACTCCCTGCCACCATCCATGGTCACAGCTGATTCGCTCAAGGTGTTCGAGGCCCGAATCAGCAGCCATCCAGAGTGTGAATCTGTTTTTAATCTGTTTTTAAATGAGAGCTTTCCCTGGCATAAGTGGCTACCAAGCCCAACCTACTGACATGCTGGATAGAGTCCAAAAACAGGCAGCCAGATTTGTGACCAACAACTACTCCTCCAGAGAAGATGGTAGAATGACAGCCATGCTGGACCATCTCGGATGGGAACCATTAGCTGTCAGGAGAGCTAGGCCCAGGGCAACATTAATGTACAAATAATCAATAATTTTATGGAAGTCGAGTTTAGCCAAAAGATCCGTCAGGTTGATGCAAGGACCTGTGGAGCCACTAGTGCCAGCCTTAGGCAAATCCAGGTCAAGACAGACACCTACCAAAACTCCTTCCTCCTCTGTACCATCACTACCTGGAACAACATCCCCGAGTGAGATTAAGGCCGCAGCTAAAGTGGAGAGCTCCCTGTCCTCATTACGACCAGAGGACCTCGTAGGGAGGCATCACTGAGACCACCACTGAACCAAGGACCTTGTTCTTAATCAGTTTTTATCTATAGCTACTATTTGTACGAATGGTAGCTTTCAAATTATCTTAAAAAACAAAACAAAAACAAAAAAATATCTGGCGGTTATGGACATGGTTACCATGTCGCTGGAGCAGCACACCCCCTTTACAGGGTCAGCTCACAGGGGTTTGTTACAAATGTCTGAAATACACATATGCTATACTGTTATGGGCCACAACACACATATGTTTAAGTGTGCTGTGACCCATATCTGTATACATAGCATCTTATGTGTATTTCAGACATTTGTAATAAAGAAGAAGACAAATTTTAATCTACATGTCTGAAAAAGACCCAGTAGGAGCCCTTCACAATAAAAGAAGAAATGAAAAGCATGAAAGATGTTAGGCCTAATAAACAGTTTGACTAAATAGCCCACAGGCTACTATGGTTCATATTATGGACGACCCAAATTATAACTTATATGTTAGGTGAAAGATGAGATTTTCCTAATCATTTAATGACATTGTCAACACAAGGACTTTCAGTAAAAATGACATCCCAATGAAGCTCTTGATGTTGAAATGTCGACCCTTCATAACTTTCTTTCATCAAAAACATTTCTAGTTGATCTACTGGAAAATGCTTAGTACCGTTGGAAAGATGGATATTTTTTTCTTTTAAAAACCTCCTATATGCACGTAAAATATGTTCTCCTTCCGCGGACATGAACTCCCATTTCAGAGTTTCAAAGTTTTTCCCTGTCAGACTGCAACTTTTTTTAATATTAATGAGGTTAACGTCGACCGCGTGCCCCGTGGTGTTATTGGCTGGAAGTGCAACCATTTTTTTCGCTAAACCAACCAACACTGTATGTTTCAGCACGCGCTGACTTCAACCTCATTCATATATTAAAAAAAGTGGCAAGCTGACTGCGGAAAACTTTGAAACTCTGAAATGGCGTGTGGTTTTGGAGGAAACAGAGTTCATGTCTGCGGAAGGAGCTAGAATACATTTTACATGCATATATGAGGTTTTTAAAATAAAAATTATCCATCTTTCCAACATTACTACCTGGTAAGCATTTTCCCAAAGATTTAAACTAGAAATGTTGTTTTTGGTACAAGAAAGTTTAGGAAGGGTCAACATTTTAACATCGAGAGCTTTCCTCCCTTCTCGAATATATGATCATTGGGGGTGTCATTTTTCCCGAAAGTCGATCTAAACCCCTAAAACATGTAAAATTACTATGAGCACCTTAGTTTAGGTCCAAATATAGCTGTAACGAATTATCAGGTCCTTGTGAGTGTCAAGAGTGTTTATGACATCTAAAACGTGACGTTGACAATATTATCTATCATCAATAAAAACAAACTACTAATGGTATTTCAGTGGCAGCATTCGCCTTTACCTGTTATTTGGCTATGATTTAAAAAATGACCTACCTAAGTGACCGTATTTTTCTTCTATGACATAATGACACCAGAGTAAAATTGAAATGTCCCGCCACCTGTCAATTTCCAAACCGGAAACGTAGGGATAATCACATGACGTTACGTCACTATTCATAATGGCGAACGTCAACATGATTGGAGCCATATCATAACAAGGTAGGAGCATCTGTGTGTGGGTTATCACGTCATTGTCAGTATGGGGGACTGGCACAATATTGTTGACGCTTCGCCGGATAAATCCAACTGCTGAATGTCGACATCGACTGAATGTGAAATACTCTTGAATGTTATATTGTATAATGTTTGATATTTGTCACAATCACGTTCATCCTTCGCATGTGACTTTGATATAGCTTCGTAATTTTATATATCAGAGACCTAGAATCAACAGAGTATAGTATGTTTCGATTTGTTTATGTCTCTGTTGCATTGCTACGTTTGTATAACTTTAAATGATTTATATACTTTCAAACTAGTGGGCATAATAACGTGTATATTTGTTTGAGAATAAACAGAATTAAGAAAAAATTATGTCAAAAAACAATATCGCGTGTCGGAATATTTTCTTCACTACATGTATTGCAAAATGAAATATTTCAAAACCTGAATATGGTGTATTAATCATTAATTAATGATTGTAAAACGTATACCTGTCGTCTTTCTGCTTTATTGTACAATCTGTTTTATTTGATTTTATGTTATTTTTCAGGTACAATAGTTCAAATTATTTCACACAAGTCATTAGTGCCTTTTATATCAAACTGTCAGAATGTCTAACTCACAGACATCGTTGATCGCCAGTCTTGTACACACTATCAGTGCCCACACATCTGATATTAACTGTGTAGCGTTTTCAACTGACAACAAACTTGCGACTAGCTCTGGTGACAAAACCACACGGCTTTGGGATGTCAGTGATTTCACTGAACTTCAAAGCTCTCCACTGTGTGGGCATACCTATTATGTACACTGCTGTGCATTTTCACCATTTGGAACCACAGTAGCAACTTGCTCCACCGACGGTAAACTAATTCTTTGGGATGTGCAGAAGGGGAAAAAATTGGCAATATTACAGCATCAGAAACAGAGTGGTATAAAGGTGTGTCAATTTTCTCCGAACTCGAAATATTTGATATCAGGAAGTGATGATGAAACAGCGTGCTTGTGGAATGTGCAACAACAAAAATTGATAAGGTATTCATGAATTTTGTTATATCCCCCATGCTTGTGAAAGTGAAATATTGGTATAGAGTCAACTTAATTAGCTTTATGGGTTAGATAATTAATGTTTCTTAAAATCAGGTTGGAAATAGAAGCAATGTCTATTTATATGCTGAACTCATTTCTCCTCACTGCACCTCGGTGGATATTATTCTAAAATGCTTCACTTGACTATACATGTACCTTGCTTTTGGCCTCTGTGTTTAGGGTAATAACCTGAGCGAGAAAGTTTATGTGTGATGTACGCTGACTGAAACAAACCAAAATCTTTCAATTATTTAATTATACTACTTGGCATTCAGCTTTAAAAAAGTGTTAACAGGGACTGGTTATCCCATTTTCAGTATAATGTGACTGGGTGGCGTGTCATGCTACAGTGTCCAGATCTATAGATAATGGCATTTCAGTAAGATGACACTAGAAAGTGGCCTAAGTGTGGCCTTATCCTCTGTTGACACCGTCTTTATAATAATAATATACAACATTTATATAGCGCCCTATATAATTTGTAAAATAACTCTAAAGCGCTTTTCAGGACCGTAGCTTCTGTGAAAACGTATAACCCAAAAGTTTGGTCGTAAAACTACAACCAATGAGAATGAGTTTTAAATGTGGTGCTTTTACACCAGTCAAAAGTCCCCTTGATCCTGCAAATCCATTTCAAAGCTCACCGACACCTTCGTTCTGCCTCCATTTTGTTGATATTGAAGTCGTTCTACATTGTGAATGCACTCCAATTAAATACTGTATTACTGATCTATAAGAAGTGTGCAATTGATTTGTTGTGGTAGTATTGCAGAAATGAGATTTTCCTGTAATCATGCAAACTTCAGTAGACTCTACCATACATTCATCTGGATGAGTCCATTATGGTCTACAGTGGTGAAAGGGCTAATTAGCTGTCATCTTTTGCTAATTTTTTGCAATGTAGCTTCCAAAATGAGTGCATGCAAATGCAATCCATCTCAATTTCTTCATGTTATTTAACTCCTCAAAGATATCTATGATTCTAAATACCAACTATTTTAATATGTAGCCATTATCTAGCATATATATAGTCTACGCTTAATACATAAAAATATAACTGCCTTTCCTGTATTGTCTGATGATACATGTCTCCTATTGTCCACATAGCAATGATATAGACTTTAAACAACAGGCTGCAGGTAATTCATTGTTAGATTATAAGAAAAACAGCTGATTTGACCTTAAAATGATGTTACATATGAATGTGAGGATATTACTAGTACTCCCGTTAGATGCTAAAGTGGTGGTCGGTTTGGGCAGTGGATAATGCACTCACCGTTAACCAAGGCGGCCGGTGTCTGATTCCTCGACCATACGTGAAAAGGAATTGGGTTACCTGCCCGATCATGTAGGTTTTATCCGGATGCTCTGGTTTACTAACACATTAAGATCCTCTGTGCACTTCCCTCCAGGCGAACAAAAGCGATCAATATAATTTTAAACTTGTTTCATAATCGTTGTAAAATAAATAATGTATAATTATCAGATGGTAAAGTAAGATTGCTGTCATCTAAAATTTCACCATAGGTAGGTTGCTTTTCATTTCGATAATTAATGGAAGACTTTTACTTATGATTTAATAAAGTGTTTAATGATATTAATAAACTAATGATTTAATAAAGTGTTAAATGATATTAATATACTAAATGATCGAACTGTTTTGAATTTTTTCAGGACCTATTCTGAGCATGACGCATCAATCGTGGGATGTGCTTTCTCCCCAGACAGTAACTTCGTGGTGACCGGTTGTTCCAACGGTAACCTCCGAGCCTGGGACTCCAACTACGGACACTCCAAACATTTGGCCTATATCCTGGAAGGTCACGACCTTGGGGTGACATGTTGTAACTTCTCCCCCACCTATGGGTCTGCCAGAGGTAAGAATTGTCAGATAATAGATATACGTCATGGTTTTGTCACATAGTTATGTAAAGGAATCTGTGGTCATTTGACAAATTTCGGTCTACAGTTAACATGACAATAGAGTACACCTGTATGTTAACTAACCTACTTCTCGGAAAACTGTTAAACCTACACTTTACCAAACTTCTCCCAACTTTTTAATGCTAGATTCATTGGCATGTGAATCTAAAAAGACATTTGCAAAAATAAGGAGTCACAAAAAAATGAGTGATTTTTAGTGAAAGGCTTAAGCCGTGTTTTATTCTATGATGAACCACAATGCTTAACTGTGGCATTCCCTGACATGACAGACAACATCACTCTATTTGGCAGTCCTGACTAACTACTTGGTGTGACTAACACTTTACCCAAGATAAATTCATTAATGATTTGAAAAAAACCTGATACTACAATATTTCAGGCAAAGTTTCTTCATTTTAATTGAATTAAGGTAAAATTCAGGTCAATTTTTACCCGATATCGGGGAAAAAAAGCTAGAAAGTTAAATTTTAGCTGAAAATTGACTTGATAATGACATGAATCTTAATGTGAGTTTGACATGAATTTCAGGGCAGGCATTTTGTCAAGTCAAATGTAAAAAAAAATAGCCACTGTTACCCGACACTACATGTATTTTAAAACACTTCATAGTGACATCATCTTGAGGTGATACAGATCGACGGATTTGTACATCACATGAAGTCTTAGCATGTGATCTGGAAATATTTTTCAGGATCTTTGATAATTGTCCTGATGAAGCCATTTTTAATGCATTTCTTGAACAGTTAAAACATTTTTGTTTTAAAGATATTTGTGGATGATGTGTTTACCAAGTTGAATTTATGACTGGGTTGATTTTATCAAAATGAAAATTTAATTTAATATGGATTGAACATACTTGATATTGTGGCAGTTGATAGTTTTAGCTTTATTTGGCAGAATCATACAAAGATGGCAGTGTCTGTTTCCTGTTAGCCACCTGTGGCCAGGACAGTCTGGTCAAACTCTGGGTGTTCACTACAGAACTGGGCAGTAGAAGTAAGTGGTCAGAACTTTAGTTTTTAACTAAGGCATTAGCCGAAAGCTATTGGTATTACTTCAGTAATGAGCTCCATATATTCATAAATGCCGTTTTCACCTATACGCCGCTCTAGTGACAGGAGATGGTACTAAATTGAATCATATACCGGACCTACTGTCTTTATTATGCATTACTTTGGACTCAAATTCACTTGAATGGCTTGTAAATATAATTCATTTCCGGGAAGTGCCACTAGACTGTAGGTCATGCATGCTTCACGCAACTTCCGGTAAAATAATTCAGTTAATGAGCTCAGATATTCATAAACGAGACATACGTCATCTACCAGTAATACTAAGCAAACTGCAAATAAAATCCATTAACGGACTCAAGTTCACTCAAAAGTCATTAGATCTAATCGTATTCTTAGTTAGAACTGAGTATCCTTCGCTGGATTAAGCCGTTAAGCCAACTAACTGAGAAAAATCAAAAGTGATCTGTAATAATATATATGATTCACGCCTCATATGAATATAATGTTATCAAAATATTGCATATTTTTGTTGAAATAACAAATCCTTATTATATAAACTGAGGCCTCACATATTCACTGATTTTTTTTTGTTATACATTTTCTTTCACATTCTGAAGTATCCAAATGTTTCAGATAAAACCTTAATCTCTGTGATAAAAAACAAAATTGTTCACTGACCCAAAGTTTCGCTTTGCACATGCAGGCCATTTTAAAAATTAATAAACAGTATTTTTATTTACCTCGAAACAAGATGCATAATACAGGCTGGAGTATTCTGAAAAGTCCATGAAACATTGTTGTATTTGCAGCGGTCAATTTGACCACAATACACGAAATGGTTGGTCACAGTGGACCAGTCATGTCCTGTTGTTTCTCCCCGAACGGCCAGCTGCTTGCCTCCGCGTAAGTCTGCTTCAAGGTCACAGTGTCACCTTGACCTTGTCTTGGTTTTAACTTAGCTGAATTGAAGAACAAATAAGCTCATATTATGCTATGGCACGTTTTCTTTTGTCCTCCATTGTTTACTTTAATTTCAAAAGTGACTTGTCCTGAAGGGGTTGTGACTAAATCTGGCATTAAACATTCTTGCAACTTGGGAAATCATTACAGTTCAAATATAAGTATGACCTACAAGGTTCAAAAGAGCCAGGCTCACATATTGCATTGCATTTTGCAGAATTACAGTCGTTCAAAACTTGAATGTTTCAAAATAGAAATAATGACAGAAAACAGAAGAATTGCAGGGGTCGAATTGGGGACCTTTTCCTTGCAAAGCCTACACTTATGCATCACAAACGCTCTCTGCACCCCTGGAATATGAACCTGACCAATCGCTAGGGTTCTTTGAAGACTACAGAGGAGCAGCACCCGACTTCAAAACCATTCAATTTCACTGAGATTCTGTCGACTTACATCAAAGGATCAGACTAGACTACTTGTATCATGCACCATGGTTCAGGGGAACACTGAGCCTTCAATTTTGTTTTGACATACTCCAGGGGTGCAGAGAGCGTAAGCGAGCGTTACCCCTGGAGTATCAGGGATATCGTAGCCAGAAAAAAAAATTTGGTTGCTTTTAAACAAGTCTGAGTGGAACTCTCCTGTGTTACTGATGCAGTGGTACCCTATACCTTAATATCAAACATATTTATCTGTATTCTGGTGGTGAGGTGTCACATGACCACTTGTTATGTGGTCAACTGTTATCACCTGCCCAGGCCAGTCTGAATAATACTATTGTTTCTTTTCAGGTCAATTGATAAAACTATCAGACTGTGGGACCCGGTAAGTATAACACAACCATTAGGCTAAATACAAATATACAGTACACTCAGTCAATAAAACCATTAGATTGTGGTACCCTCAAATAACATCAGGCCAAATACAAACTGCATTCCTCTTAATGTCAAGTCATTACAGGTAGTAGAGGAAAATGTTATTTAAAGTGAAATTTGACTTTAACAGGAAATATCTCTGTCAAAATAATTTGAGTTGATATAAAGTCAATGTGTATGTGTGTACTCTGTATGTGGGTTGTAAAGAAATTTAATTTTACTACTATATTTAAAGCTTTCTGGCCATAATTGATAAAAGTTGGTCAGTTTGAGCCAGAATGTGGATATGAACATCATTACAAGAGAACCATTTGAAAAAGGCACCACCATCAAAGTGAGCCTTAACTGATTACTTTTTACACAGGTTTGGTAATGGTAATAAAAAAATGATCTTTAGAGAAGTTCATTCCAAATCATATATTGAACAAGCTACATAGAAAATATAGAGAGAAAACATGATATTAACAGAAATGTGACATTAAGCAGTGTGACATTAAGTGTTATACACTGTATCACTTTCTCTGTGTTTTATACTGATTGTTCTGGTTTAACATCATATATTTTTTATCATTTTTATTCAAGTTTCTTCCTTCCATCATCATTTAGTTATATTAAAAAAAAAAAAACATTTATGAATATGTTCTTTTACAGGCATCAGGAAGCTCACTACACATTATATCTGGACATTCACGGTAAGAGACTGGGGGGAGTCTACCACCTTCTGCCCTAATTTGGTATTGGCATATAAATATACTGCCTTGGTAGTGTTGTTCATTAGTATAGTACTGTATAACTAAAATTGGTGCAATGTTATTGTTAATAATGCTATGTGATGGAACCTATAGTACATTTACTGACTGCTGATAATATGGTATCAGGTGATACACCTTGCTACGAGTCTTGTAAATGGTATCATTATATCTGTACTTATATTATTCTATATATAAATGTAATCTGATCAAATTTAGTCATGTCCCTAACGTTTTCTACCAGAGGTGACATTAGTCTAGCAGAGAAATGTGTGTAAGTATACCTAAGGTTGGTTCTTATGTCCTCAAAACCTTTGTATATTTGTCTCCGACGGTCCTTATTGTAAAGTACCTTGTTTATTGGTCTGTCATTCTGTGGTAGAGGAACAATGTTGACATGTCCAGTGGTGGGTTGTTTGTAATATGTGCTAATATTCTGTGGTTGTAGATTTGTCTCCGACGGTCCTTATTGTAAAGTACCTTGTTTATTGGTCTGTCATTCTGTGGTAGGGGAACAATGTTGACATGTCCAGTGGTGGGTTGTTTGTAATATGTGCCTATATTCTGTGGTTGTAGATACGTGACCTGCTGTGCCTTCTCTAGCGATAGCCGTATGCTGGCCTCTGGGTCCAACGACAAGACAGTCCTTATATGGAAGATCACCACCCAGGGCGAGGCCATCGGTAGGTTTACTGTGTAGTGGATTTAAATGTCAGTAGATCAAACTTTTAATTAAGTTTGAACTCTATGGGATCGTACACTGCATATCCTCAGCTACCGTTGATAGCAAATTTCACTGTACAAGAGATTGAGAACATTTAATACTTTCATTTTCTTTATATAAAACCGTCAGTATTCCAGTGGTTTGTTTCTGGTTAATAGAACGTTATTTTATAATAAACCCAACCAATTCAAATTAATTTGAATTTAAAATGTTCATTTGTTTTTGTAAAATTCAATTCTTCAAAGTTTATGTGGAATTTCAGAATTTGAAATTACAAAATGTATTTGTAATTATAACATTTTAAAGTTTTGCATTAAGCACTCTTTCTTCAAAAGTATGTGTCCTTCTAGACTTACTAAACATCCACCATAGATACATTTTGGTAACACTTTTATTTATATTCTACGTTTCTGCTGCTGTGGGAGTCCTAGTTTGTATGTCAATATTGCCAGTTAGTTCCTCATAAAATAAAAATAAAAAATTGCTCTGGTTTTCAAAATAATTGTTTTTTGTTACTGTCAGGACAGATTAGACATATAACTCTAAACATGATAATAATATAACATATTCGTGATACAGACGTATAATATAAAACTCAGTATTGTGACATGATATGAAATTATTAAATAAGGATGTAAAGGAGATGAAATCAAACTCATTTTCTCAATGTGAAGCCTGACAGTGATTTATATTCCAGTTACAGACATCAGAATTGATATAAATAATTATTTATGATAAAAAGAACTTGAACATTTAGCTATAAACCTGTGTATAATAATGCAATACAATTCCTTGTCACCGTGAAATTCTACAACTGCCTAGCCCAAAAGGTAGGGCAAATTAAACAATGCAGTCCATTGAAAACCAAAATGTCTTTTCGAAAAGCTGATTTAAATTACCTATATATTCCTTGTTTCATAAGATAATATGGACTCTAACCCTGAGCGACGAGGTTTGTCCGAGCAGAGCTACATGACAGTGAAGCCTATAGCTCAGTGGACACTGGACGACGTCTGTAATTGGTTGGTCACTATCGGTATGGGGCAGTATGCCAACAACTTCAAGTCGAACGACATTGACGGTACAGAGATGGTCAACCTCAACAACGAAATGCTCGTCTCTCTCAGAGTAGGTGAGTAGCCGTGCATTATTAGCTCACCCGGTCCGAAGGACCAAGGTGAGCTTATGCCATACCGTGCCGTCCGTCCGTCGTTCTTCCGCACATTAACGATTTCTTTAAACGACTTCTTCTTAACCACTGATTGGAATTCAACTAAATTTGACAATGACTGGAAGCATCCCTAGGTGGTGGGGATTCAAATTTGTACAAATGGTGGGGCTGACCCCTCAGGGGGCTGAGGGGCGGGGCTAAAAGGGGGCAATTTGGCTATATTGCTTCAAGTGACTTCTTTTCTGGAACAAAAAGATGGATATCAACCATATTTGACTGAAAGTATCCCTAGGTAGTGGAGATTCACATTTGTACAAATGTTGGGGCTGACCCCCCCCNCACTGGATATCGATCATATTTGATCAAAAGCATTCATGTGAAGCAGGGATTCAAAATTGCACAAATGGTGTGGCTGACCCCCCAGGGGGCTGAGGGGTGGGGGCAAAAGGGTTATTTGGCTATATTGCTTTAAGCAGCTTCTTCTCAAAGCAATATAGCCAAAAAACCCTTTAAGCAGCTTCTTCTCTGGAACTGAGTGATGGATATCAACCATATTTGACTGGAAGCATCCCTAGGTGGTGGGGATTCAAAATTGTACAACTGGTTGGGCTGAGGGGCAGGGCCAAAAGGGGGCAATTTGGCTATATTGCTACAAAAGACTTCTTCTGTAGAACTATGCACTGGATATCAACCATATTTGGTCAGAAGCATTCATGGGAGGCAGGGATTCAAAATTGTACAAATGGTTGAGATCCCCACCACAGAACTACAGTATATACAAATGCTTGGCATAAAGAGACAAAAGTAGTCATGGTATTAGAATAGACCCTGGGGTCTGAACCCCTAGGGACCTAGTTTCTTAAGCCACAGCTTGGAAACAGTTGAGATCCCCAACCTATAACCATGCATATATACAATTGCTGAGTATAAAGAGATGAATGCACATATGCTTCCAGGATGGCCTTGGGGTCTGCCCCACCCTTGGAGACTTAACCCCTGGGTCATAACTTCGAAATGGTTAAGATCCCCACCCCAAAACTATATATACAATTGTTAGGCATAAAGAGACGAATGCAGTCATGATATTAGAATTGACCCCAGGGTCTGCCCCACCGTTGCAGACTTAACCCCTGGGTAATAACTTTGAAACGGTTGAGATCACCACCCCAAGACTATAAATACAAATGCTGGACAAAAAGAGACGAATGCAGTCATGATATTAGAATTGATCCTCGGGTGTGGCCACAACCCTAGGGATCTAGTTTCTGATTTACAGCTTGGAAACAGTTGAGATCCCACTCTATAACCATACATTAAATTGCTGGGCATGAAAAATCTAATACAGACATACTACAAGAATTGGCATTGGGGTCTGGCATATTCCCTTGGATCTCATTTGGAGAATATTTTACCATGATTGCTTAGATATCCAGGTGAGTGATACAGGCCCTCTGGGCCACTTGTAGTAATATAGTGTATCCCTATATCAGTTCACACAAATCACATTTGAATTTAAAAAAACCACATTGACTTCAGTTTTAAGTCAGTGTGAGTGTTCAACAGTATTTCTAAGAGGAAAGAGGGTAGTGTGCTTCCACTGGAGAATCGAACCTGTGATCCCAGACTTCCTAGTCGGACGCTCTACCACTGAGCTAAAGGGAAATTCCTTGATCTCGAAGCTAGAAGGTGACTGTAATCATTATGTACTATTGATGCCTGCCATACTACTTCGCCCTCGAACACAACAACCCAGGTTCTAACTCCCTGTCACCACAGGGAGGGCCATGGTAACCATTTAGATATAACCCTGGAGATAACAATCGGAATTAGCTGGTGCCTTTATGTACAAATAATATCTGTCACAGTATGTACATAGCAATGAATGCTCAACTATAACTCAAAATGCCTTACAATGACTGAACTATTCTTTTTCTAGATGCCCTGGGTCATAGAAACAAGATTCTGAGAGCGATGAAGTGCATCAGTGTGAAGAACGAACACCTGTTCAAGGATCCTGGTAAATATTACTTCATTAAACTGAATTAGTTTTACATTTATGAAACAAGTTTGATTATACTTAATCAATTAATTCAACTTCATTTATTTTACAACAATTGTGAAACAAGTTATATATTAACTGACATTAAACACTCTTGTTTGCCCGGATGTCATCGCGCATGTGGTCTTAGTATAGGAGGAAACCAAAGTACCCGGAGAAAACCTACGTTGTCAATCAGGTATAACCATAAACCTTTTCCTGTCAGGAAATTGAACCCTGTTGCCTTGGTGAAAAGTGAGCCACCCAACCACCCAACATCAATCTTGTTGGTCAAGGGGGAAGTGCATAAGCAGGTTAGGTGGCTTTATTTTAGGATGAAGAACTAGAAGAAGACTCTCATTGTCAGGCAGATGACCCTAGGCCAATACCTTAATGTTATGTCCGTCTGGGGATGGAATCAAACTCTATTGGAAGTACATTTAAATCTTGCTTTTTTCAGATGCTGGCATTCCAGACGAGTATTTGTGTCCAATCACGAGGGAGGTGATGAAAGACCCTGTTATAGCCGAGGGTAAGTAGCGACATGTCTACGACAACGGGACAGGATTGACAGTCATGGTGAAATGAACCATCAGCACAACCCTAGCTAGAAGTCGGGGATATAATGCTCATTTTTGGAGTCCCATGGAGTGAAATTTAGTAGATGATGGCATCATGCGGCGTTAATTGTTTTATAGTTTATATCTATTGCAAAATAATTGACTGCTATATTTGTGTATTAAAGCATTGCATGATGTCTTTTACAAATGCCTTTAAATTAGGGAACAAAACGAAAAATCAAACCATGGAAGTACATGTATTCAATTTACAAAAAATAAACTGAACAGTTTGCCTGGTTCAGGAGCAAACAAGGCAATGAAAAACCACTGAATAGGTAATAGTTGAGTGTAGTTAAATCACAAGTGTGATGCTTAGAAGAAAAAAAAGAATACGTTTGACATCAGCATACAGACATCAATTTGCGACATTGTAGTTGTATGTTTATTATAGTTGTACCGATATTCATGGTAACGTTGTATTTGTATAATAGCTTAATAGAGAGACCTTTTTGTTAATTGAGTAGTGCAAGTCAGTTATATAGTAAATCTTATATAGCGATATCTATAAACGTAAAAGTGGGCGTCCAAACTGACCAGGAGAGAACCAATGTCCTGGATGTCATGGGTCAGAAGTTGATTGTCGTGGGTCAGAAGTTGATTGTCGTGGGTCAGATGTTGATTGTCGTAGGAATCTTCGATAGATACCCAATGGTATTCACTAGAGCTGTTTCACAGAATATAAGTAGTACAATTAAGAATGGTTCTGTCAATGACTAACTCGTTAAAACATCTGACCGTAAATGAACTACAGAATCTAGATATTCATATTCCATCTTTCCTATTCCTAATATTTGTAAATGTTAATATGCAGTTTACTTTAAAAGTGAAGGAATCTCGATGTGAATTGAGTTGTCCAAGTAAGTGATGTAGGCTGAAATCTAATACTGCGATATCTCTGTCCGTAGATGGTTACACTTATGAGCGGGCCGCCATAACAGCGTGGACGTCCAAGGGCAAGGACAGGAGTCCAATGACCAACGCTGTACTGTCCACCAAACAACTCACTCCAAACCGCAGCCTAAAGATGCTCATACAACGTCACTTCAACGGCTGACCACGCTAGCTTGACTATAATTTACAATATACTCTGGACCAGTTATTTCTCTTGAATTTATTTTTCATGGTCCCAGGAATTCCGATGGACCAGCTTTTTCTCTTAATTTTGTTTTCATGGTCCCAGGAACTCCCAGGTCTTTCAACTTGAGAGTCCCTTTCTGGAATACTGGAGTCCTGTCCAAGTCCTGCTGGTTTCTCTCCGAGTCACGGTGCAGACAGGGTAACTGTTGTGTAAATATTCTGGACTGTAGTCATGGTAACTGATGTGTGCAAAAAAATATGTATTTGTGTCGAGAGGTAATTTATACAGCTTTAATGCTTGTTTTTTAAATCCAAATCTCTCATGAAGTAAAACCTCGTTATACTGCCACCACTTGTCAAGATATAAATTTGGCACTATAAAGGGGTCTGGCGATAAATTGAGGGAAAAGTTTAGGGGAAATCTGAAGAAAAACAAGAAAAAGGGACATTGAATTACATTGGCAGTAAACGAGGTGGCAAATGAAACGAGGGGCAATATATCGAGGTTTTACTGTATATATTTGTACATTTACATTGTAGTAGTTCTAATAAACTGCATTTTGAGGCCAATTCATTTGTCGATGATTGCCTCATTGTTATTTAAGGATTAACTTGATATTTTTCATGTTATGGAGATATTACACAAAAAACGGAGTGTACTCTAAATAAACCGCGAATCGGTTTATGATGAGAGTACACTCCGTTTTTTGTGTTATAATTCCATAACATGAAAAATATATTCAAGTTAATCCTTATAATTTAATCTACTATACACAATCCCTGTGGAATTCACTTTTATTGATGGACTCCAGCTCTTTTCTCTTAGATATTATTGCGCTGCTGTATCAGCCAATCAAAAGCGACGTTACAAACGGTGACGTCATTTTTTATGTTATGGGCTGATAACATAAATTTTTAAGCCAATGGAAATGCTTGTTACAAGCAAGATCAAATTATTAATTACGGACGTTATTCTGATAAATCTGTATACTGGTTGTTGTATGGTCAGATCAAGAATTCCTATTGTTATTGGGCCTATTGTTTCCATGTTAACTGGCCGTCACACATTTTGTAATGTTAAGTATCTCCTTGTTATCAATTCTGTGTAAGATTTTATGTTGATCTGTTGTTTTATTTTAATTTGTGAATACAATTTATTATAATGTATTATTTCCCAAGCAAGTACATATGTACTGGTAGAATTGTGATTTTGTTTCTCTTTTAATTTGTTATACTGTGCTCGCTGACTTGGTCAATGTCCACACTTTCCACGTGATAACTTGGCTAACCCTTTCACCACTGTAGACCATAATGGACTCATTCATATCAATGCATGGTAGAGTCTACTCAAGTTACATAGGGATGAAAGGGCTAAATATTGTTAGATTTTGAAGAAAAAAATGGTAATAGCATAAGCTAAGTTTAAAGTTGAGCGAAATCTGTGCAATAATTATTTAGCATAACTCTCTGCTCTCTGATTGATTTATCAAAATATGACAAGACTCTGATGAAACTTGGTCAATATACATATTATACAAAGACAAAGGCTAAGATAGAAATAGAACAAAATCTGCACGGTTGGAAGGTTGCATGCATATTGTTCTGCCCCTGTGGTACTATTTTTTCTATTGTTAATCGAACTTAAAATCCTTTAAAGCTTTACTTTTAGTTAATTTGTATTATTTCAAATAGTGTGAACTGAATTACATGTATTTTTAATTTTTAGAAACAGGAAAGAGTTACTGTTAAAACTGATGGCCTATTTTGAGTAAATATGTATCACATTGTTATACAGATACAATGTACATATAAATATTCAGACAATAATCTGTCCAGTGCTTTAGAATATTATAGATTTCTGTGGTTGTGACTTATTATTACCATTAAATTAATTGGAAGTAAAATCCAACAGGTTTGTTGTAATGAACACAGTTCTCGACCTGCTACTGGTGTGTAGGTCAGCTACGAAATATACAATTTGACCGTTGGTGTGTCGTAGGTTTTAATTACCTTTGTATAAGTTATTACTGAGTAGATGATTAATATTGTGATGTTAAAATAGAACTCACAAAAAAAGTGTTTTATATAGATTATGGTAGATATGCGTTATGATCAAAAACCTATATGCAATATTCATCTACAATGAATATCCATCAAATAATAAAAATGGCGTTAAGAGTCACTACAAGGTAAAGCATTCATTAACCTCTTAATATTGTTCAAAGTCCTATTTGCAATGTTCATCTACTGTGAATATTCATCAAATTAAGATATTTGAAAATGGCATTATTGCTGTAACCCAGTATAACATTCATTATCCTCTTAATATTGTAACCATTTTTCGTCAGAATTTTGCATTATAAAATAATTGGCTGAAAAAAAACATGTCAGTCAGGATTACCCAAACAATTAAAATAAATAAGCAATGAAATAAATTGTAAAAATTCTGTAATCAGCCTAGCACAATTAAAATCTGATTTGATGCTTATGCATAAAGATGCCATTTTGATATTACACAAATATACTATTTACTGGTTAGATTCCAGATGTTGTATGTGTATTTTTATATAAAATTTGTATCTTAATCCAGATTATTGTAAACAATCCAGATTATTGTAAACAAAAATCATGTCCTGGTATTTTAAAAGGTGTATGTGTTCTTTTAATATAGCAAACAAAAACTATGAGGTTATCTTTCAGACAACATCTTTTTGGATATCAGTATTGTATTTTCTTCAGAGGCAAAAAATCCATTTGTATTTTGTTTTCTAATATGACATGAAAGTAAATATAGACAGTATATCTGATGTCACCCTGCATTTTAAGTTATTCAAGAAATAAATTCTTGGGTATGAGTTATGGTATGCTTTGCTTAGCAGTTATGGGAGAATTCTGTGGTTATACTATAGAATGTGTTGAACCTTGGAGGAAACCAGGAAAGTATCGTGGTACATTGTACTAACATGGACGTAACTTGACTCTCGGTCTTAATCAACTTCAAGTAAGTATGCAGGGCAGTCTAGTGGAAGGACACTGGGCTCGTGACCGAAGGTTGCAGGTTCGAGTCACGTCACGGCCGGCACTGTGTTGTATCGTTGAACTAGATACTTTACTCCGATTTGTTCCAGTCTACTCAGCTGTAAATGAGTACGTGGTTGGGCACTGCTAGAATTATTGAATGCTAGCTGCGAGCGCTGAAATGACAGCACAGGCTGTATGCTCCCCGGAGAGTTGAGAAAGATATTGGCTTGTTGCAAAGGCCCTATAACCACGGATAATAATTTGTGAACCGCTTTGAGACGACCTACAAACTAGGTTGTGATAAAGCGGTATATAAGAACCTCGGGTCATTATCATTATTGTTCTGTTAAAGAGGTAGTTATCACTAAAATTGCGGTTTCTTTGTATAAATGTGTTTATTCCTGTACTGTAGGGAAGACAAATCCACAATGGAGAGATCAAAAAGTTTTCTGTGATATATTCTGAAATAATGTTATACAAGTTGTTTAACTGTACCCGCAGTAAGCTGCTTTGTTGTTACAAGGTACATGTATTCCTTTATGAGGAGATTCTACTGTAAATTGCAATTTTATATGAGAACCCGTTCTTTTTAAAAGAGATGTGATGTCAAAATGTACTATAAGTTGAAGCGTTCAGATTTTGTAATATCTTGATAAAAATAAAGTGCTTTTCAAAGTAAAAACAACAGGTGTCCATGTGTGTTATTTCAGAGTCTAAGGACTTTTGATGAAAAAAAAACTTTTTATAAGTATAAAGTTGCTCACCTGATTTTATTTAGACTTTCATTTCAAACTTTGTAGCACACCATGATCACAAACTACTGGCCAAATATCATGATCCTAGGCCTCTTGGTTCTTCAGAATTCATTTGAGTGCATTAACGAAATTTGACTCCTTCCATCTAATGGATTATAATAATAGACAAAGGGTATTTCTTTATCACACACTTTGCAGCTAATCCTTGCCCACAAGCTACATGACAAGTAGAGTGACCCACGGTCTTTCTGTTCTATACAAACTTGACCTCTGTGGACTTGAATGTTGCTCAAGATCATTTTTTTTGGTAATCTACATACCATTTCAGTAAGATATGGAAAAATATTCATATGTTGTCAGAATGTATTAAAAAAATTGACCTCTGTGACCTTGAACAGTGGTCAAGGGTATTTCCTTTTACAAACTATGAAGCACTCATTGCCAGCAAGCTTCTAGCCAAATATGAATACAGGTCAAGGTAATTTCTTTTCGCAAAGTCTACCACTAACTAAACTAAAGACGAATAATCATGACACTAGACCTTTCAGTTTGGTAAAAGAAGTCATTGGAGCATTTTAAAAACTACTCTTGTGACCTTAAGTATAGATCAAGGTCATGTTTTCGAAAACTTTGCTAAATTCCATGACGCTGCCTTTCTGTCATCAGAAGAATTGTTTTGACAAACTTGAACTGTGACCTAGAATATCGGTTGTGGTCTCCTTTTGTTGTTGTTGCAAATTCGCAAAACTCCATTAAGTGAGCTACTGGACAAATATTCTGACTCTTACACTTTTTCAGTTCCAAACAGTTATTAGAGTGTTTCAAGAAATCGGACCCCTTTGACCCTCTATATAGGTCAAGGTCATTTCAAAAACTTCGTAGCAGTCTAAGCTAGCAACTTACTGGCAGATACCATGAATCTATACTGTTCAGCCTCCCCAGAAGCCATAAAAGGACTTTCAATATATGTAAAAGGCATTTCTGTTTGTTATCTTAGGAACAGAACATGCAAGCAAGTAACTAGCCAAATATGACTCTTAATCATTCAACTCTCCATTAAGGTGTCAAGTACTTTAAGATGCAAATATTGCAAAATGTGCTGTATTCCGTCTTGCATATTGCAGAGTTGTCTTCTCTTGTGAGCAGTTATTGTTTGTTACGTCACTTGTTTGTGAGAGTAACGTCATCATTTTTTGAGAAAACAACGTAATTTTCTCACACAAACCAATGACGTAACAATCAATACCTGCTCACAAGAGAAGCTAACTCTGCAATACGCAAAGACGGAAAAGCAACCCAGTACATCAAGCTCCATAAATCCTAAAGACCTGAACAATAGTTTGTGGCAGGAGACATGAATTACAAATTGTAAACTTTATTTATCGTTGATAGTACAAACTTATATTCAGTAAAGTCTCATGCTTTGTTGAATAAATGTCCTCTCTTATTCCTAAACACATTTGATAATCACCACATTTATTACATTACTCAACGTCTCTGCAACACAGGAAAGGTCATTAGGGACAACAAATGGTACATTTTGTCTAACTACAGCTCTCCCTGACAGATAATGGTCATATGAGGACAACAAAAAACAAAAGTGATCTTTAAAATATTTTATTTTTCATTTAGAAAATAAAATGAATTGATAATGCACAAACCAAACTTTTAGAAACGATCAGAAAATGTTTTGTTCAATAAAGTCGGCACACTTTCTGTTAGAACTGTTTAAGAAGATATAACCACAGAAATTATTTCCCATAAGGATAGGTTCAAAGGCAAAAATTAACCCATTCATTAAATCACATATGTTTAACTTAATTAAAATTTAGATAATGATAAATACAAACTTTAATTGCAAACCTTTCCTAAGGACTGTATTGTAGATGATCACATCAGCAAAATACATAATTAAAAACTCTAAACATTTATGTATGTTAACAAATAGATAACACATTGTCATGCAATGATTATTAAGGGAATAAGTTATTGATGCATTAAAATCACCAGGAATAAATTACATAACTGTAATTAAATAATGTAAATTACTTTTTGTTGAAACATTATATCTCATTCTTAAATTATTTTTCCATATGAACTCCTTGATCAAATAGATGGGTTCTTGTATTTCCTTCATATCTCCCCCAAAAGGTCATCGTGGGTAACATTTTTCCCTTGGAAATGCATTTAAAAGAAATCTAATATAAATGAGGTTAGTTAAATACCTTATAAGAAGTAACAGAAAAGGACTGTTTTCTTAAAAATGTCTTCAAATTTTCAATTATGTTTGCTTTCTTTCATAGGATAATTTTGTATCCTTACAGAAAATAATTTCATAGAGATATATAACGGAAAGTTTTCAACAAACTTGTATTATATGTTTAACATTATTTTGTATTCTTTTGTTTGGGTAACTCTCCTGAAACCCATAAACATACTGCATGTATCTGACTAAACCCAGCACTAGATTTTCTACATCCTTCAGTTTGTCTGGTTGAACACTTTAGTCAGTGAGGAAGCTCTGGACAAGCTCGTCGTAGACAACAGACGACCGGTAGATAGATGATGCCAATAACATTTTCGAGAGTTAAAATTTAAGACAAATCGGAGGTGTAATGTTTAAGGTAGCCTACAGCCTTAAGTCAAATTGAACTTTGAAAATCTGGACACATAGAAGAGGAACCAGTATTGTTCTCTAAGACAGCTGCTAAAACTTTATAATGAAAACACTTGATGGAGCCCATGTATTGTGATCACTCCAACACTGCCAAGGTTTTAATCCAGTACCATACACAACACTTGGGTTAAAGTATTGAACTTGAGGTATTTCATATGCATTATATAATTCTCTGGCCCTGTATACCAGTAGCTACTACTAAAGTAACATAAACAAACTCATACGAAGGAGTTATACAATGTAAAATATGCAAAATATATCTTGAGCACCATCAAATAAACACACTCCCTTAAAACACACTTCCATACAACATGTACTCTAACATTTAACTCAGACTTTCACATACATACAGTCAAACCTGTCTTATCTGACACCTGGATAATCAAGCTCCTGCCAAGCCCGACACTGTTCAGAATTCCTGAGATTTTACCTTTATGTTTGTTACCAACCCATATCGTGCTCTGCCCCCGGCTGCCTACGGCCCTTCATAGTTGGCCTCCTACTATCAAACTTAAGCCATCTACATAAAAATTGTCTGACAAGGCTGGACTAATTTTCTTGTAAATGACAGTTTAGAAACCCAACACACATTTCAATTAGGGACACACATCTTTTGTATGTGGTCTCTGTGAAGTCTTGAAACCATGGTGACCATCTGATATTTCTTATCTTCGACTCAAATAATTAAAATAACAACTTTGTCATGGAATTGGCAGGAACACTTGTACAATGTTTAAAATCAAACGAATAGAATTGAAAATTAATAAAATAAACTCTTGGCCCATCAGAGGACAGGGTAGCGATTTTAAATCAACCCATTATTTATGAGGAGTCGACCACGGTGTTGTGTTAACCCTTTCACCCCTATGTAACTTTAGTAGACAATACTATACATTGATATGAACAAGTCCATTATGGTCTACAGTGGTGAAAGGGTTAAAGATATTCAAATTTAAATTTCCAGCACAGATTTTCTGTTCAAAAATGCTTCAATGACCAAGACCTGTAATGTTACAGTAAGTATTCACCCGGTGTCAGATTGGACAGGTTTCTCAGTAAAACCTCTCTCACAAGTCTATATATATATATATATATATATGTCTACGCTATTCTCATAAATCTATATGTATGTATCTATATATGGTTGTCTAAAATAAAAGTATTCACAACTCTATGATGACGTGTTCAATGATTACGAAGTGCTGTTTTGATATTTATCAATGAATGATGATGAAATTATGAGCAATGAAACACGACGCACTGCAGAGACATTATGTCGACTCGCAATTTAATGTAAATGACAAATGGATAAATTTATATTTGAACACAAACTGGTAAAAAATATTTATCTGGGATGCATCAATTCAAGTAGGTCTGTAGACTATTCGTCTTTAATTTTAAGACAACAAAGAATTTGAGGAGAAACAGGAACCCAGTATAACATCATTACGTGGAGCTTGAAATGTGAATTTTTATACATTTCTTCATATTCTGAAAATCAGGAGTTATTTCATGTAACACAGACAGTATTTCAATTCTTACTATGAAGCTCGACTTTAACAAAATTAACTGGCCCAACAATATGTCAGTGACCTTATACTGCCATAACAATAAGTATTAAAGCTGTTTAACCCTTTCACCCCTATGTAACTTTAGTAGACTCTACCATGCAGTGATATGGATGAGTTCATTATGGTCTACAGTGGTGAAAGGGTTATTAAAATCAGCAAGTCTTTCTTGAATTAACTATGTATGATCTACAATCTTGACTGCACCCCTGATAATCAAATGCCTTCCTGTTTTTCCAGTGTCCACTTCCTTCACTTGGACACAAACCACACTTCTGATTTGTCCCCTTCAACACCAATATTTTATCATGGTCCCTGAACTGTGTTGGTTTTAACTACATGAAGTTATAACATCTGTTTCCAATCCTGAAGACTTCTACTTTCACTGCCCGTTATCAGGAAGAAGCTGTTGGTTGTGACGTTACAGTGGTATCTTCAGCCATCTTGTCTTTCACATCCTCTTCCTGTTTGATGACCTTGAACACGCCCTTCACCTCCTGTGGTGCTGCTTTCGACTTCTTCTTCACAAAGGAACCATCTACAACGAAGCAACATGAAACAAATCAAATGAGAGTCTTTTTCATTATCAGCATATTAACATGAAACAAGGCTTTGCTGTAGTATTTTTACTCTAGCTGTTATTCCAAACAAAAACATACTATTATTCGACTGCCTACTTACTAAGGAAGACAGACAAGCTGATTCTAGTTTTAACCTCCTACCAATTAAACATTGTCGTAGGGGATATAACTACCGGCATAATGATTAAATGCGTAAAAACATCATGCATATGAATTTATGTACACTGTATTACCATTACAACAATGGAATTGTCATCGTCCATTTTGGACCAACATTTGTTTAATTTCCATTGGAAGTAATTCAATTTAGGTTAGCATTATCAGTATTAGGTAGCAGTTGAATAGTATGCACATAAGAGCCCTGACTGACCCCCATGGTTTATAATGGCAAATAATACTTTGAATATTACATGTTAATAACTTGATTGGAATCATAACCCTGAGTTGACAGTTTGATACTTTGAAAATTTTGAGCTAGCCTTACCCCAAAGGGCTGTAGGGTGGGACCCAAAGGAGTCAGTGTTCTAAAATTTCTTCATTTTCCTTGTTTAGAATCAGAGGTGCTAGTTTCAAATACTTTTCAGTCTTAAATCTGTTTTTGCCTATGATATGTACTGGAAATACTGGGGGACAAAGATGAAAACTTAATGTAGATAGCGATTTTACTAAAGCTTTGTTAAATCGTTGTCCATTCCAGTTGGTAAAATATCTCCTATTAGGGACACAACTACTCCTTACCATCCTTGTTGCCTGCTGCCTTCCATTGCTCGTATAGGTCAGACCTATCGAGGAGTCGTTCAAGGTCGCGGTTACTGATCACACTGCCAGCTCTGGAGCTGTTCATCTCCATCTGGTGGTCGTTCGACTTGAGAAGGTCCAGTAACTCCAGCTGGGTGAGGGGCTGTAAGCTTGTAGTGAAGTTCTTTATACCACTCTTGAACTTCTCTGTGAAAATAAACCGTGAAATTAAGTTTTGTATTTTCTACAGATTGAGAGAGAACTGGAAGATCCAACAACAAAATGCTTTTCCACATAGACACAGTTTTCAGGAATCCCTTTAAGGAGACATTTAGATGCAATTTTAGAAAACAAAGATTTTATTTTGAAAAGACTTGACACAAAGTCTCACTACACTCCCATTTTCTTCAACTCTGACCTAGAAATGTAGGCCAAATGTACATTGTTCAATGGAAGGTAGCTTCATCTTTTATGTTAACCATCACTGTCCCAAAACGGGACACTTAGGTAGCAGTGTACAGTAGAAATGGCCCGACTCTGATAAACAAGGCACATGTCGAGGAAATGTAAACACAGCGGATTTACCCTACACAACACATGTATACATGTATATATATTTGTAAACTGCATTACATTTACAATACATATAAGGTACTGAGAAGTGTATAAACCTCTTTTTTCTATGTATGTCAATTGTGTGAAAACCATGGTTACCACATCAAAAATTACCAAAAAATGCCAAAAATTGCTGTTTTTAACCCAAAATTTGACCCCCGCAACTAGTATTTTTTTTCCTAAGCTCTGTCTGAACTTGAAGATTACCTACCTGGTTGCAGAATTATCTGGGTCCCAGTAAAGTTGTAAAACTTGATTTTTTGCAATTTTGCGTCGTGTGCTGTTGTCAAAATTTTAACTCCTGTTAAGCTAGCTTTTCATGTGTATGCACCCTTTCGTATTATGGCCAAAAATTTATTCTTGAACCAAAGAAATCTTTCTTTTTTACAAATGTGAAGCTCACATAGCCCACTTCATCATGATTATACCAATTTTAGTACAGTTTTATTTTTATATTTTTTTTACATATCATTATACAGGGGTTAGCCATTTAACAAAAATATCACCCATGGCCACAACCCTCTACTGTATACTGCTACCTTAGCTAAAATACTAAAGTATCCCTTTCAGGGTACAGTAACATCTGTTTAAGGGCATACATGACCCTGGTAGTATTTTGCGTTATACTTATAGAACCACTCACAAGAAATACCAACCTGTAGTAGAAATGAAAAGTGGATGGTATCTATATATTAAAAAAATAAAAAGTACATTGACATTTCTCTAAAAAGTGTCCCATCTTGGGTACAGTGACATTATGTGTAACAGTCATTTTACACAGGTTGTATGGACCATAAATCCTGCTTTTGAAAGTGTTTCTTAACAAATTGACACAGGTTGGGTTATAAAACTATGGGTAGAGTTACTGGAAACAGAAATTTCTTAGGAAGTCTACCTTTGTGGATGACCATTTTCTCTATTTTCCTCTTGGCGGCTGCTCGCTCCACGATACGCTGGTCAATGGTGTTAGCGGTCACATAGCGATACACACAGATTGGTCTTGTCTGTCCAATCCTGTGACATCGGTCCTGGGCCTGCAGGTCACTCTGGGGATTCTGTGGAAGTAACAGGACAGTATTTTGTAAAACACTATGGACTATAATAGTAAAACTGAAATACCTATAAGACATTAAATGTCCTCTTCACAAGATGTACACAAGAGGGATCAGTTACACGAAACAAGATAAAGTCAAAAGAATTAAGTTAGATGGTTATTTATCCCAGGAATTCAACAAGTTGTCAACATGTCATCACATTTTGAGAATATTCTTTCTTAAAAATACAGTTAAGTCTCTACCTTTACATGGACCTTGTTGGAACAAAATTTAAATGTATTTGTTAATGTGACATCTTTATTATCTACCATTTTCCTTTAAAGATTGGATTTGAAAGTCTGAAGTACTGAGTAGGCTTTAATACACAATATGAGAGCATTTGTCTATTCATGAAAACTGATAATAGAGCCTTGATATCTTAAACCATCACTCACTTGGGAACTCATATTTTGCCATTGTTAAAAGACTGTTTCTTGAGTATGTAACTAACTACCTTAATTAAGCGTTCCAGGTTATCAGACCCCTAATACACAACACAACGTTTTCTCACGGAACGATTCTTACCCAATCGCTGTCATAGATGATGACAGTGTCCGCAGCCACCAGGTTGATACCAAGTCCTCCTGCTCTTGTACTCAGCAGGAACAGAAACACTTCCGGGTCAGTGTTGAATGTTGCCATCTGAAAAGTGTCAGAAATCTTATGATGTTGGTATTCTGTGTTGATTGATCCAGAAAACAGCGACATTTGCATGCATCATCCAAACTTGAAGTGTAAAATTGTGAAAAGATTCACGTAGCACAACCAATAAGTGTTACCCAATCTCACTTATTGATTGTGCTACATGAATCTTTTCACAATCCATATTTACCAACTTGATGTGTAAAAGTTGACTCTTTTATCTAGTGACCACTTATACCTGCTTGTTGCATTACCCAGTGAGTAGATTAAGGCCTTTTTCTATACATAATTCTTCAAGTAATTCAGCCACATTACTGGAAGAAAGGGTAGGTGAATTATCGAGACTTGTTTGTAACGGTTAATATTAATTTGCATATATTTTTCTAATATATCTAACAAAGTGTATGTATGCATCTGTGTAATTCCTTTGCAAACTAAAAGCCTGTTCCCCTATTTGTACAATTTTAAACCTGTTCCACCTATCGATACTTTTAGTCGAAATACGATGAAATTCTGTGAACGGTCTGGAAGTGGTTCGACAGGTGGCTGGACAGATATGCCACATTAGGACATGGTTCAATTTGGTCCTTCGTACGAGGTAAGCTGGCCTTTTGGGCCAGGTGAGTCAATAACATCCTGGCTATATTATATACCTGTGATTTCTATCATCAACAGCGGGGACTTACCGATTCCTGCCTGTTTTGAACATTACAACCACCGTCCAGACGACAAAACTTGTACGATCTCAAGAAACAGAAGTCCTCTAGGATATCCAGCATTTTGGTCATCTGGGAGAAAATCAGCACCTACAAAACACCAATCACAACGATCAAACAGGAAGTCAAACACCTTTTTGTTAACAAAATAATGTTAAAGGTTGATGTTCATATTTAGGAGATGGGAACATGTTTTTTGGAATTGGAGTAGTGTGTTGCAGATGTCAAAATTTTAACTCTGTCATTCGAAACAGAACTATTTTCCTGTCTAAAAGAATAGAACCCTTTTTTTACTGAATGTTTCTGACATTTAAATGTCACATGTGTCATAAATAGATGATACATTCCTTCTTTTTTATGTACTTAAATGTTTGGGAATTTTTGCCCTAAATGGCACAAAAAAATACATGTTCTGCATCATATTATTCACTTTGTAAAATAATGCAACATTTCAACTTTTTTTTTGTCCAGTTTGGAAATCATAACATCAAACAGAGTAGCAATGTTTACAGTTAGTGCAGTAAAGGTGATGACAACATAAAGAGTAGAAGAGGTAGTATGTGGAAAAAAGACTTCGGGTGTAAACAGTGTAACCGAGTAAAAGGAGATCAGTTTAATCAGAACATCAGATCAGACTCACTTCTATTTTTTTTAAACAGGAAAGAGAGTAGTGTACTTCGGGGATCGAACCCGCAATCTCAGACTACCTAGCGGGACGCTCTATCACTGAGCTAATCCTATATACATTAAAATCTGCCACACTACCCCCACCCCCCTTTTTTTTGAAATGTGTTCTCCCCCAAACACCACAACCACCAAGATTCTAACTCCCTGTCACCACAGCACCATTTGTAACAGGATAGAGAATAACTGTGTGCTTCCAATGGGGTTTGAACTCTTTACCCCTAGTTTACCAGCCCACCGGTCTACTGATTGAGGTATTAAAAGGAAACTTCCCTCTAGACAGAAGCTAGAACCGAAAGCTCTTCATTAGTTTTATGCAAGCATTTTATCTTTTCTGGGTTTTTTTTCCCATTAATCTCTTCGGTTTTAGTCGTATAATTTTTAAATGCAGGTGGTGCCTATAATCAAAACTTCTAATTGCTGTTTCACTTTTTCCTTTTAAACAGATCCCTTTTTTAACAATGTGCAATGTGTAAATAATTTTGCTTCAAAATAAAATCTTAACATCAAACTACGAAAGTGGAATAATTTACCTGAAATGTCAAAATCTAAGATGGCCCCCTGGCAGCCATCTTGTTTTTCAGCATGATTTAACACAACCTGTCTCCACACCATTGATTCATAACTTAGTGCATATTGTACACATTTACAAATGACCTTGTGAACTACACAGATTGACCTAGCTCTGACCTTGTGAACTACACAGATTGACCTAGCTCTGACCTTGTGACCTACACAGATTGACCTAGCTCTGACCTTGTGAACTAACCAGATTGACCTAGCTCTGACCTTGTGACCTACACAGATTGACCTAGCTCTCACCTTGTGAACTACACAGATTGACCTAGCTCTCACCTTGTGACCTCCGGCTTTCAGCTGCTTCAGCATGCGGTCCAGCAGCAGCATTTTGCCACTCTTCCTGATGACATCCTCGTCCACCATGAAGTCGCCAGTCCCGGGGTTGAGCGGGTACTCCAGCAGGTATGGATGGTTACAACATTTGCGTAGCTGCATCATCACGTTGAGTAGCCTGACATTTAACTGGGATGTCTTCATAACCACATTCTTTGCTGGCCTCCTGGAGAAAAAAGTAATTAAACTTTAAAAAAAAAAAAAAAAAAAAAAAAAAAAAAAAAATTTTTTTTNTGTCAAGAAATCAGCCAACTACCTGTTTTTGAACATCCACCAAAGATTATGGAAATCCATTTGATTTGGAAACAAAAACATATAACACAAAATAAACCGACCCATTATCTTGACTCGCATAGAAGGGCCACTATACTGTAACATGGAAGCTACCACACTACTGTAACATGGAAACCTTAAGACACAGGCTACTGTGACGTGTACCCTCGATCAAAGAGAGTTCCATATCAAGAAAACTGTAAAACATTGTCTATGGTGTTCAGTTTGTGGACTTGGTTAGTGCATGGATAACAAATTCAACAACACAGTATTGCCAAGCCTTACTTATAAACCTGACCAGGTCACCAGAATGTTGTACACATGAACTAATAGAACCTTCCCCTACCTTGAGGGTGTGACAGAGAAATCTCCAACCCAAGAGATTTCTCTGTTACACCCTCAAGGTAGGAACCGATTCTTTTTCTCCCATCCTATTATTTCAGTTCTCTGCCATATTTGTAAACAAAAACACATATAAATGGGGTATTGATATCGTCATTCACTTTTCATGATGTCACAATTATCGGTGACACATTTTAATGACGTCACAATTGAACACATGCTAATCGGCATGAGGCTATCTCCCCCTCGTGGGCGACAAGCTGATATTTCCCAGCTAAAATAGGAGACACACCTGTGAAGGGTGGGAGAAAGACATTTCTCTTACCCTGGACAGGTGTATCCGCACTTTTACCAGTGTGAGATTTCCTTGTCTCACCCTAGGGTTGAGACCCCCCGGGGGAGATTCCCCTATTCATAACAATGGCATGACGTCACTTCAACAATACAATGACGTCACGTCAACAATCCATCAACGTCACGTCAACCCTGAATTTAGCATGTAACGTTATCGTTACATTGTGTATATGATACACAATGGGAGAACAGGGCAAGAGAAAAAGAATCATTCACTCCCTTGTGAAGGGGGCATTTAGTGTTTACAGATTAATAGAATCTTTCACCCTCTTGGGGGTGAGATAGGAGAATCTCAACCCGAGGGGGGGGATTCTTAAGTTGCCAAACACGAGGCTTTGCCGAGTGTTTGGCAACTTAAGAATCTTTTCCCGAGGGTTGAGATTCCCTTATCTCACCCCCAAGAGGGTGAAAGATTCTATTAATCTGTAAACACTAAATGCCCCCTTCACTAACATGGCACCCTGTACAACAGGAATCTAATTCACAACCTTTAGTACCACAAACTACCACCTCATACACAAGGCTATAGTATTGTGTGTTACATGTATCAGCAATGCTAAACATGGATGTTGTACATTGGAACTCACAAATAAAGGAACAATTTAAAACATTTGAGAAAAAGAAATGAATTTCATGGAGCAGTTTGACAAAACAGTGTATAGGAGTAAGATAACGATTAAATTGATGTATTTACTGATAAACGACCATTACTCGAGGCTGGTATGTTGTTTTTATGTGGACTCACAAAGTGTTCTGCTTCGCCTCGTCACTAACGGCAGCTACCCATGCAGCTAGGTCTTCCTCTTCTTTTTCCATTGCTTCCTCTGTTTTCTCCGATTCTGCACTCTCAGACTTGTCCTCCATCATCAATTTGTAGTTGACTTTCTGCTTAGCCTTCTTCCTAATCGGACGGCCTTTCTCATTAACTTCAACCTTCTCCTCAACTTTCTGTATAAATATTTTCAATCCCTTGAATGCTTATAAATATTCTACAAAATCAATTCACACAGAAAATCCAGCTATTCCAACAAGAACTTAGATCTGTAGGACAGAAACTGGTTTTTATTAGAACTTTTTGGGGACAACAATGGACCCCGCCTCCCAATTGAAATTATTTCATATTTATGCATAATTCCCAAATGTCCAGTTTACTCCTAAAACTTTCTTTCCCCACTGGTATATTTTTCTTCCCAGTCTCGGACAAAAAGGGCCCTCCCCAAATGGTTATTTATTGAAAAATATGAACGTACCTCTGTCGGACTTAATCGCTGTAAGAGGGTGCGGTCAAGCAGGCTGCTGTAGAATTCCTGCTGTATCTTTGTCAGAGGGGCAAACACCATGATCTCCTTCTTAGGGGGGATGTTCAGTTCCACGTCCTGTTTCAGCCTCCGCAACATAAATGGTGTCAGGATCTGTGGAACAAATCATAAGACGTGAGTGACAACCATAATCTTTAACGAAACTGAAATAAACAAATCTAGAGGCACATGCGAGTTTAATTGACACCTATCAAGTGTATTTTTACCTGCAGTGATATTTTTAGGATGAATTTGAAGCCTTATAAAGGCCTACATAATTTCTGCTATATTTTACCAAAATAATGCAAAAATCACTTCATTTTCCCGAAATCATGCTTTCTAAGGTGATATTTTCCTAAAGTCAAAAGGCACAGGCCTCTGTGGAAAGGAGATAGACTGACCTGGTGTAGCATGGACAGGATGTTAGTCTGCTGTTCTTCCTTTACGATTTCTTCATCAGCGTTGTTCCCTGATAATCTCTCCAAATCAAACCAAGTCTCAAAGCTGTAACAATAGATTGTAACTGTCAGCAAAGACAGAGATGTGGAACTGACAAAAGAGACAGGGATTTATCTGGGTTTATATGAGATGTACCCCACCTACACAGTCACCGTTTTAATCAGAAAACCTGTATAAACCAGACTTTCAACTGGGTTCCACTGTACACATTTCTATGTAAACTGTGTGATCAAAACGGCTGTCTAAACCCATCCTTGAAAGTCAAAGGGGCTATGCTCACTTCCGCTCTCTGCACCCCTTGAATATGTCGTAAAATCGAAGACTCGGTGTGCACTACCTTCAGGATGAGATGAGAAGGCTAGTTTGATCCTTTGATGTTCATGAAAAGAATCTGCCGGTCACAGAATGATAAAATTGACTGGCTTTGAGTCAGGGTGTCAGTCATCTGTAATCTTCAAAGGACAGGTATCACCCTCAGCGATTGGTCAGGTATTTTTTACTGAGACTAATCAAATAGCTAGTTGTTTTGCTCTAAAACACATATTCCAGGGCTGCAGAGAGCGAAAGTGAGCATAACACCTGGAGTTTCGAGGATGGTCTATTATACCAAGATTTCACACAGCACATTTCCTTCAAAACACACACAAGCCTGTGTAATTTCTAAATCTGTATTTTCTCGAGTTTAAGCTTCTGTGGTGCATGCTTAAGACACATTATCTAACCACAATTATTTTCTAGAATGATGTTCTGATCAAGACTTTGAGGAAGTTATTTGGTTACACGGTATAAGATTGAACTGACCTTCCCAAGTCATCAAAGATCTCTGGAAGAAGGAAGTTGAGGAGTGACCAGAGCTCCGACAAGTTGTTCTGTAGTGGTGTGCCCGTCAGGAGAAGTCGGTGAGTGTTCCTATACAAGCGAAGTTCCCTACACACAAAACAGAATATGGTGTCAGTTTTAGATTCTTAACAGATAATTACAGAGCAAACAAAAAATAAGGACAAATTTGTAATGGTTGAGTATCTATAAATATTATCATTTACTACTGTTTGCCTTTTTGCTTTTCCTCAAGCTAGAAATTTCTTTTATTATCTAGCAATGAATTTAAATTTTAATATCAAACATTTTGAATAAAGTTTTTTTTACCTGATTAGGCGACAATGTGTGTTTTTGATGCGGTGACCTTCGTCCACTATGAGGTATTTCCACTCGAAGGAGCCGAGCAGTTTGCGGTCCCTCATTGTGATCTCGTACGATGTGATGACAACAGGCTGGACTTCAATGTCCTTCTTCACCTGGTATTTCTTGTACATCTTCATCCTGAGCCGAGTCCTCTCGTCACGGTCGCCATGGTACATAATCACAGGCACCTGAAAAAGTTTAACAATAGATCAATAATCCTGGTTTGTTCAGTGCCAACTACAGGCCTAGGGTGACCAAAGAAATTGAGCTACATGCAAAATGCATCCAAAGAAATGGAACTTCAAACAAAGTCAGTGCTACATACAGAATCAGTCAAGCTGAAAATATAGGTCACAGTGACCTACATCCGTTATACTAAGGTGGTACACTCTTCACGATGTATGTACACATGACAGTATGATTACTGCAGAACATTTCTAGTGTAAATGTAAGGAAGCTGATCACAAATTCCACTAGCCTAGATGTTGGGATGGACCATCCAACTTCAATACATTCTTTACAATAAGCATAGCATCAAAGCCTTGCTATATTGAAAATTACTGAAAACATTGATGACTTGATGTACTTTTCCAAGCCGTTATTGAACTCATAAACTTGTTATTGATGCATTGCTTTAAATGGGGAGTCAACTTTTGCCTCTATCAATGTATCAATCATGTTTCACCTTTGGTGCAAACCTCTTGAACTCGGAAAACCAGTTAGGCAGAGTGGAGAGTGGTGCACACACAATAAAGGGCCCGGGCACACCCATCGACACCAAGTGAGCCAACATGGCTATGCACTGGATCGTCTTTCCCAGTCCCATCTCGTCGCCAAGGATACCGTTGACGCCATTCTCATACAAGGTCTGAAATATGAAGGGCAATCACACATTACACCAGCACTAAAACCGTCTTTTACTTCTTGTCAGTAAAATAGAATGTGACCTCTACGTCATCTCAAGGGGTCCCTCAGTAGATTGATTTTACAGAATAGATTTTACAGTCACAGACCAACAACAGCAGTCACATATCAAATGCAGGTAAACTAAAGCAAGCAGCGAAGATCTAACAAATGAAATTCTTGCAATACTTTGATTATATCTAAATCATTTATAAATGAAAATATAATACAATTCAAAATCTCTTGGAACTGCTCCAAATCATCAAATCAATGGAAAATTAAGATTTCAACATGATGCTGTTTTATTTAGGAAATTAAACATTAAGCAGGTAGAGACAGAACTATCCGTCTGATTTATATATTACAAACCGCATTTTAGACACACAATTACATTACAATTTCAAAAAGATTTTACCTATTTATTGACGAGAGTACAAGAGTAGGAACAAAGCTTACCTTAAGCCAGGTAAACCCTTCAGACTGGTACTGTCTCAGCTTTCCACCACTGAACAATTTGGGCTGCACAAATGGCATGCTGGTATCATACATCTCCGACTGTAAAGTCAAATTGAGAGTTTGCGTGTTATACTGTAAATGTGGTTCCAACACATATCTCCTCATACTGACAACACTCTCCTTGCCACATGCATTCTGATTTTAATAAGCACTTCAGCTATCTAAATTAGCATGCGGGAATGTTTGAATTTGAAAAACGCTTTGCAGTTTATTGAATAATTTGAATCTCCACAGATTTTGGGCTGTTCTACACCAGTTGGCTGAACAGGTGGGAACCATTTTACAAACGGATTGTTCAATAATTTCAAGAAACAATGAAATAAGTCCTGTTTAGCTTTGTACTAATACCTCATACACAGCCACGCCTACTACAGGAGCTAAATCTCACATGAAAGCTCAATGACCAAACACACACCTTAATCTAACACATGACAGAGCCTACCATCTCTAATCTACAACATTTATCAAAAGACATCATTTACATATTGAATGTTTGCCTGACCTTGGTAATCTAATGACTTACAAGGATTTTCAGGTGGCCTGACTGTATTTATTTTTATAATCGGTTTTCACTCAGAAAATGCTCTTCAAACCAACTTTTGTCACTTTTGTTTATTATGTTGACTATCAGATAAAAAGACACTGATTTCACCAAATGAAGTGTTCTATTTACCTCTTCCTCCTCCGTCTTTGTTTCACCATTGGCCTCTTTTATGTCGGGTTTGACATCCTCCCCTTGCTCCATTTTAACCTCTGGTGTCTTTGTTTCTAATTCAGCTTTATTTGCTTGCACTTTCTCATTGTTTTCTGCTGTGTTTGATTTGTCTTCATCCAAAGATTTTCCATCCCCATCCTGTGTTTTTTTCCTTTTGTCAGTCGCCTTTTGATGAAAAGTTCTTAGCATATAAACTCTGTCCATCACATCTTACTACATACAGAAAATGAATTTCCATTTCATGTGAGAATTATTAACTGAAGTTCAATTTTATGTGTTGTTCGACATTTTCAGGAAACAGAAATGAATTTATAGTCCTTTTTATGAAACAACAATGACATCACAATGTTATACATAATGTCCAACTGTCTGCCGTCTTTAAATTGACTTCTTAATAGTAAAGCCTTGGTGTATTTACAAGAGACAATACACAAAAAGATAACGTAGCATGTTCACTGTGTAACACATTAGATATATGATGAATTAAAATATTTAAACTGTCACATCACTGTTTTACAGCATTTTCCGGGATCTCCCATCCATCCTCCCAACGTGTTCCCAGGGGTCTAATGAAAGCCCTCATTAGTGGAAGTGTTCAAATTGAATAGTTCTGTGTAATTCATTTAACTTACGGCATATAACTGACAGTGGAAGACTGTTGTGAAGAAGATTACTACCAAACTTACTGAGAAAAACTTAGAAATGTCAGCTCCCTCCACACTGTCCACCTTTCTCTTCCTTCCCCGCTTCTTACTGGTGGTTTCTAAAGTAAACATTTCAATAATCTTCATTAGAAACCCAAACTTTTATTCTTTAATTGAATGATCAGAGGATAGTTAACTACCACATTACAATTATAAAAGGGGAAATTGAAAAATGCATGGCCTGTAAAATCCACTGTAACTTTTATTTTCTAAAATATTTTATTACAGGGAGTCAATATTTTGTCAGCATACTTTTGAGTTTTCAAAATGGCTGTTACAGATAATAGACAGTGGTCATGAAAAAAGAGTGCACACACATATATCTATATATATTACCTGGATTTTTTTCCTTATTTACCTTAATTGTCTTAAGAGTATCAGTGTTCTGATTAAAACTTGGCTGCCAACAAAAGTTAGCCCGCTATTCATCAACTTTGAACAGGCTTTTCTTTTCGAAATATGTATAGGCCAACATTATAGCAGGTCAACATTCAACCAGCGATTCCTTCCAAGTCAACCACCTATTTCTGAACTTAATGAGAACACTGGGTATGAATAAAATCCACACCGTAATTCCTCTTCTTTTAATACATCTATTTATAGATCTTATTCAGCTAAAAAGTTTCAAAATTTTGTCAAAAACTTTTTCTGGCCAAACTGGAAATAACACAGTAGCAAAATCTAACTGATTTGTTGTTCTTGTTGATTTAGATTCAAATTTTAATCATTAAGATGTAACGTCACATTATCCATATGAAAGGAAAATACTTTACCACTTTGACTTGACGAGTTATCCTGTGAACTTTGTGACCCCTGTGAACTTTGTGACTCCTGTGAACTCTGTGACCCCTGAACTTTTGTTGATTTCCTGGACCGTGTGGATCTGGGGGAAGGAGCAATGTCTGCCGTCTGAGGAGAGTTACCCGAGTGCTGTGGTATCGTTGATTTCAGTGGGGAGGATAATGACTTTGTCTCCACATCTGAAATATTGCATGTATACTTAATCAAAGGAGATTAATTTCAAAAGTTATCATGGATATTTTAAGGCCAATATGTTCAACAAAAATAAGTTATTATTATTTCTATTTAATGTGCAATTTGCCCCATATCTACATCTGAAATTTTACATATTCTATCAGGGATCAATCTAGACTTGATTCACTACTGCTAATGGGTAGTTTCCCCTACAGAAAAAAAATCCCCTGTACTTTGAAATTCCCTCTATGTGCTTCAAAATTTCCCCTACTTCAACAAAGAAATCAACATTTTTCTTCAAAATATTTCCCCTATATATGTGTTTTCTTTAAAGTTCAACAGTTAAAATGCATAATAATACATATATACATTTTCTTCACATAATTTAAGCAAAAATTGACAAATTTATGTTCTACAATTGCAAGCTTAAAATTGTTCATGAATTGAAACATACTGCACACATGTATGCCGGACAAAATATTTATCTTTTACCTTCATGAGGCTAGAGCCTTGTATCAAAATTTTTAATTTCCCCAAAATCTGAAAAAGGGTAATTTCCCCCCAAAACCTAGATTGATCGGGGACTTTTGAATTTGTAATCAAAGTACATGTATACATTTGAAAAAGTCATAAATGACCATAGACTTTTGGATTTCTGTTTGTTTATTGAAATGATACAAATCAACCCTCACACTGCCCTTATCATAAACTGCATGAAACACAAAAGAAAACAAACCTTCTTTGGGGATTTCCAGACTTTTCGCCTTCTCTTGTTCCTGAATAAAAAAGAAACAGGCAACTGAAATTCCTTTAGTTGGGGCTGTTCTTAAGAGTTTAATTATCCTTGATTAAAATTATTTACAATTGAAATCATTATAACAATGATGTTTAGCAATAACATGCATCATTATACACTCAAACCAACTCAAGTGATTTTTATTTTACCAAAATAGATCATAACGAACGATAAAACCTACCTCCAGTGCTTTCTTCTTTTTTTCCTCTGCCTTTACTCTTCGTTTTTCCCGAAGTTCTTGTTTCTTTTTCTCCTCCTCAGTTTGTTTCTGCATTCTGTTCAAAAGGTACTGAGTGTACATGTTACTTTTACTCAGTAGAAACTGCAGTCTCTTGTAGCGCTGTTCTTTTATTTGTTTATCCATGTCCTCCCATTGCTGAAATAATACAGAAAGTACAGTTCAGTCTTACATAATCACGGAGAGGTTATAAATACCTTTGAAGTATTAAGGTGTGTCCCTTGCAAGTTTTGATAAACTTTTCATTCACAATCGTTCAGAATATCCTCGTCAAAGGTTAGCAGACAGAGAAACCTGGTTTTACCGACTTGATCATTTAGGTGGATAGGACTGTCGTCAGTAAAATTAACAACATAAAGAGACCAAATCATTACATCATACAATACCATGTTGGAAACATTGACATGAATTGTGTTCAAATTATTACGTCAGATATAAAGAATTATCACTCCTGTTCAATATTAAAATGCAAGTTGCTTGGAAATTTAGTATTTTTTCTTTTCACTAGTTTGAGATAAGCAGTTGAGTACATTAGTTTTGAACTAAGGGAGATTATTCACCTCCATTCCGAAGCTAACAGATCTAGTTTTCAGAAGTGTACAATTTTGTATTTAGAGTATTCAGCTTACGGACAGATTTTGATAAAAACCTACCAGCCTGAAATACGATGCTACATTTTCAAAGTAAAGACTGAAGTTTAATGCCAGGTCTTTCACAAAACCTACTACCCCCTGAGTTTCGGTTTAGCGAAATGGCACGCGCCTAAGTTGTGGACCAGGTAGATAACTCACCTTTGCATGTTCGTCCCGCTGTTTTTTGTCTTCCTCTTCTCCCTCCTTGTTCAGCTGTTCCTCCTCCTCAATCATTTGCTTCGTCACTAATGACCCTTCTGCTTTGACAGCGTCACCGTCAACTTCCTGTTAACACATCAAAGTTTTAACTTGAATTTGAAAGTTTTACACAAAATAATTGTGATTTTTGTTATGAAAGTCGTTTATAATTAAATGCAGATTTTAGATTTTCTTGCAGTAATGATACTTTTTTTTATAGGCAATGGGCTAGAGAATTTGATTTTTTTTTATTACTAGTGTCTTTAAAATTGCCCACTTTACTCTCTTATTAAAACAATTTTGTTGTTCCGAAAAACTGATCTTTTTCCAAAAACCTTAATTTACATTTAAATGTTGTCATAAAATGTTTCTTACATCCACTGCCATTGGAGATTCCTCTTCTGTAAATTCTGAGGGCAAAAAATAAATTAGAAATTATATTGCATCAATTTGTAGGATATGGAGAAACTATAAATAAATTACCTACAGAACTGATTGTTCTGATGCTTAATTATACTTAATTATGAATAAGGTACAACTACACCCACTTGGCAGAAACTTAAAACTTTAATCAATGCACTTGACTCACTGAAGGTAATGGGGAAAGTAATTGAATTAGTTTAATACAAAAATCACTGTTCTCAGTGATCATTATATGTTTAATTATAATGAACTTTCAATATCTATAAAGTATTTATTTGATTTAAGTTTTTTGTTATTAAAATCAATATGACAAATGGAATTGTTTTTGAGATCATAAATGAAGCCATTAAGGCCAGGAGAGGTCAGTCACCAGTGATGGGCATGTGTCTAGAAGTGTTACCGTAGATCACAAGAATCAAATTAAGATTTTAAATATATCACCTTGCTTTATTTGTTCAGCACTAGTGTTGGAGCCCTCCACAGCAGAAGCTCCTGCAGCGAGATTGTGATGAGCATCCTCTCCCGGCTCGTAGGCCTCATCTTTGGGGAGGACAGGCGAGTCGCTCCTCTTTCCTGAACTTTTAGCGGCCTCCACCACTGTAACACTCCTAAAACAAGTCACTTTTACAGTCAGAAGTGGCAAATAAAAAAATACATTGCAACTGAACTATTAATCTTATTTTAGATTTTCCCATTTTGCAACGTTCATGTTTAATTATTTATCTCATGCAGATATTTTTTTTTAAAGTATATATCTTATCAATGTAATTTTATTGATATTCCACTTTTCATAAAAGACGCGATAAACGGAAGGATGTGCAAAGCAGAAGGTTAATATTTGTTTCCCCATGTGTTCATGTTGACGTTGCGCGAAAGTAAATATTAACGAATCGCATCAATGCTGATTAACAATTGGTGTTGATGCAACGAATTAAGATCTTGGGTGATGATACTTACATATTTCTCGTGAATTATGACAATCGCTGGATATTATAACGGTAAAATGACAGTGCACGTTCCTCACACGAAAACAGCTGACTTGCCCAACGCAGCCGACAGCTCCCACTCTAATGTTTCCCGTGGATTTTAACAGCGATCGTTTTCTTGCGGTGGTGATTTTCTGTTTTGATCCTTTTAACCTGTTTTAATCAGCGATCTTCACATTTTTACTCTTGTTTCACAGGTTTTTCTGGTGACTTCAGTTAGGTAACACAACCTTCTTTTCCCGCCACTGGCAGGGGGCGCTGTACCGGTGATACCGGAAATGGAATTCCCCCGAAGGCTTTCAGGGGCCGTCTGCAAAATCATTCACACCTGATGAGGCTAATTATGGTTTTAATTGCCGTAATGAATGGCTTATCATACTACCGATCTCTGTATAACACGATAAGGACCAGAGGAGCGAACTTGTGACACACAATTAAACAGGCAGTCATTATAGAGGAATTAATCAATTATTATTTTTTTCTTCTAATTAATCTTCTCTGTGACATGTTAATCTGTAGGTGACATGACCCCCCCCCCACACACACACACACACACACACACGCACACACCCACACACCTAAATCTATGGTTGTAAACTATCCTTGATGAGTTGTAGTCTGGATTGGGATGTATTAAAAACATTTTATTATTGAGGACTCCGACTGATTCAGGAATTTTGACGGGGAATATATCATCTATCTCCATCTCGCGATGTCATACCCACAGGGACCTGAGGAGTTGCAACAGCTATAAATATATTTGGATCTAAATTTATATGTTCAGGGTAATTTTACCTGTTTTAGGGGGGTTTCCTAGACCCCTAAAACGTGTAAGATAGCATTAGATTGGGGTGATATTTTAACCGAAAGTTGATATTTACACCTAAAACGTGTCAAATTACTCTGAACACCTTAGTTTAGGTCCAAATATAGCTGCTAAAAATCCTCTGGTCCCTGTGGTCCCATCATCCTATTTTTATTTGTTTGTCATTGTTTTTGAAAAATAAATAATCTAACGAGATGAAATTGGGCAACTCCATATCACAATAATGGTAAAAATATTTCGGTAAAAATATTAAAAGTGATTGATCATTAGGCACGATAGGCTAAACCAGAGGCGTAAAATAGATGTTAATTATACCACTTGTAAGTTACAAACCGTATCAACCATGTTTAGTGTTTGCACTTTAATTTGATCGCACTATATTTAGAGTGTGTTAAAAGTACAGCCACCAGGTTGGCAGGATGTTATTAATTGTTGCACATTCTCTACCTGTTCCCCCATCAATCAACACCGCGGTGACGACTGAGTAATTATACACCTACAGGTAAATTTGTGATACGACGTATATGATAGAGAGAACGAGAGAGGTCAACGTACCACGCACATTCGTTGCAGTGCACGTCAGAACGGAACGCCGGTCCATTATTAGCTTATACTTCCTAACATACCACGGGTAGATCTAGAGCTAGGGGAAGGTTCAAAGTAATTTATTTTGATACTTAAACCCTGGCTCGTAATGGCTATTAACCGATATGAAAAGGTCGACAGCAGCCACCACCGTCATGTAAGAATGTGTTTTGTTTAGAATATATCTACAGAGACTTGTAACTGTTAGATTTATACTTCTGGCTGAATTAAGGACAGGTGTATTATGTGACAGCGGGTGCAGTGGATAGCGCACTTGCCTTTCACCAAGGCGTCCGGGGTTCGAATCCCCGATTGGCCGAACACGTGTGTTTTCTCCGTGTACTCCAGTTTCCTCCCACACTAAGACCCCCCACACGCTAACATCCGGACCAACAAGAGTGATAAATATTAGTTGACATAACTTGTTTCATAATTGTTGTAAAATAAATAAAGTTTATACTTGTATTCACTACTGGAACCATTTCCAAACATCAACGTCCATGATGGAAGCGATCAGTTCCAAGCGTTGTTCCTACGGAGTGTCTTCGAATTGTTTTATTATGCAATGCATTCTTATAATTTATATTTAAATGAAACGTGACTTTATAAAAAAAAAAAATCACAAATCAATCAAATGAATACATTGGAAAAGAAAATCAATGATCAAGGACCGTTTAGTAGCGTAGATAGCCCTTGTTTGGAGTGGATTAATTTAGAAACAGGTCCAGGGCAAGGCCTTGGTTTGGAAACAAGAGAGTAAAACAAGCATGTTTTTTTATCATTCGGTTCACCTGCGCATCAACGTATTGACAGGTAACCACCTCAGATTGTTCGTCTTCAGGTTCGTCCCTCTTACTATCGATTCGATATGGTGAGTTTTAGTTTTCTTCGATTAGGTAGGGTTTTTTGTTTGATAATGGTGGAATATATATAGAACACGCAGGACTCGAAAATCTTATGGAAAATACAAGAAAAGAAAAAAAACAGGAAAATGTTGATGATTATGAATCGTTCTACTTCCGTGCCTGGTACCTGAATATAGATAATTATTTAGATTTGTCTGTTCTCTTGTGCGCGCAAATGTTTTGTCTCGAAATTTTTCACTCATGAGCTTATGTCATAATTTCTGTATGCTGCAGCCAGTACTCATGTTATGCCAATTGTTACTTTGAGTGTAGTGTATTTTGAAATACTTACATATGTACAAGAACTCACTCTACTAAGCTTACTCGTCTAGGACCGGTCACAAAACGGCTCACTTCCCATACGGGGAGGCATTGGATCGAAGTAAACTTGATTTCTTTTTAGGAAGAGTCAATCTATACAAGTAGCTGTGATTTTAACAGGCAGACAACTGAATACACTTTTCGAAAAGCTAGAATAGAAAAAGAAAAAATCTCCAAGACAAACAGTTTTATATAAAGACGTGAATGCACGTGTAACCAAAACAAGTCAATGCTCAGTTTCTCAGAGGAAAAATGCCTTCAGCATTTGGACAGTATAGTAATTTGAACCATCTGAGTGGAGTATGTTCTATGAAAAGTTGGACTGGACTTATTCCGAGACAATTGATATTTTCATTTCCATAAGGTACAGAGATAGGTAAATTTTTCGGACCAAAGGAGATTATGTCTTTTTTAATTATGTTTAATCGAGTATGCTCGAAGAGAATTTGTGCGGTCAATCATGGCGTTTAGAAACTGTCTAGACCAAGGATCGCCGAAGAGACGTTTGGCGGTACTTTTTCTTTTGAATGTCTGGACCGAGGACGAGCAGAGAAAATGCGGACGGGGTTTGTGTTTTGAACCGTTCGAGTAGTGGATGCCGGAATAATGTATGGACGCCATTCTGTCTGGAACCGTTAAGATATCGAGGACGCGTCAGACGAAATATTGGCTGTGTACCGTGTCTTGTTAGCGTCTGAATCGACGATGTGAGAGGAGAAAAAGAAGTGATAAATTCACTTGCGAGTCCACAATTTTAGCAATATCAATACTCATAGATTTATCATGGGACTCGTATAATAATTTATCTCAGGATGAGATTTTCTATATCGCCCCAAAAAAGTAGGGAACGATTGTTTGGAACAGAATGGTGAGCGGACAGAACGTGCATGCGTTGGTTTGGAATAGTGAAGAACGAAGTTGTCGGAAAACTACCACCGCTTGTTTTACATGTTTGAAAGAGCACGCGAATCGTATATCGTAAGAAACATGCCTTTACAAGAGATATTGGCCTTCCAAATTGATAAGGGTCAGTTCAGCCAATCTGGCAACAGACATGATACATTTCGAGCTCTGTTTCAAAATGACATTCGTGACATCTGGCATTCAACTTGGACTGATAAGTCTGCAAACTGTCCGGTCTTGTAAAGCTGAGAAATGATGAATGGCAAAAACTAAGTAATAAAATAGTTTTGGCAATGACGCTAAAATACCAACACTCTAAACGTCGATCACAGAACGTCGGGAGCAAAGCTATACATCACTGATAGTAATCAATACCGTTACATGCAAAACGTGAAATTGACAACAACGTGTGTGACTGAAAATGAAACCGGTAACAATGGCGGGAAAGCCAGCACGCAACTCTGCAGTACGCGTTCGTTACAAACCAGAGCAAAATGCTGAAATAGGTACGTCATTAATCTGCCTAAAATTGTCCAACAAACGAAAGAAACTGTAAACAAAAATGTATGCCTGAAGCATCGACATGCATCATGGGATATCTGAATACGTCACATGTATGCAGTGTGTTGGCGCGGTCGTGCACGGTGTGCCCACAGGGACATGAGCATTTGTTACAGATACGTTTGGTTTTAAACTGAAATGTTCTGATTATTTTTACACGTTTTAGGGGTTTAGATCAGGTTTCGGTAAAAATGCCACCATCAGTGATATATGCATAAAAAAAATATGGTCTCGACGAACAAATTGCTTTGAATAAAAAAAGGGATCCGATAATGAACTCATATACGCACATGGCGTAACGTCATTGAAAGCGGTGATCGGGTGGCACAGAGGATCAGCGCACTTGCCTTTCACCAAGGCGGCCGGGGTTCAATTCTCCGATCGGACTTGAAAAGGTATGGGGTCACCAGCTGCCCGACCACGTCGATTTTCTTCATGTATTGCGGTTTCCCCTAAATTCCACCCTTCCCGGCATCCGGACGAATAAGATTGATTAATAAAATGTTAAAACTTTGTTTCATAATTGTTGTTTGATAATTGAAGTTTATATATATAACAACAATGCAAAAAGCCATATAAGTACGATCAAATTAAGTCAGTTCATTCAAAAAATTATACAGATCAAGTCCAATCTCTTAAATTGGATCAAAATGTGTGTTAGCCAGCATATTCAGTACTGACTAAACCGACTAAGATCGTTTATATTTGTGATACATGCATTTAATTGCTCGCAAGACTTTTTTCTATTGATTTGTGTAAAACATGCATTTTGCGGATTTTTGTTTCAATATTGTCCAGGTGAGAAAATCTTAAGGATCTGCCCCAGGACTAGAATGGCTGATACCGGAAGTAGGGGTCAGCTATTTAGTACATGGTTCGTCACCTCTAACGTCTATGACAGCGGAAACAGGAAGTCTGAGCAAAGAATGTCTACTGACTTGTGACATCAAATCCAGCCACAGGCGTGAAATATTCAACTTTCTGTATTCTTATACCATTTCAGAAAAACAGCCACAATTAAAGGACAATTTTGCCATCATTTTTACTGTGTCCTTTTCTTTTGTAAACAATGGCTAAGCACGGAATATTCGTCTGTGTGAAGTTGACGGCTTGTGTCAGAATGATAAAAAATACACGTGAATTGAATCGCATTTTGGTGAGAATTGTGCAGAGTTATCTCCCTTTAGCCAATAGCCACTAGTTCTGGTAGAGTCGTATTTCACCGATATCCTCATATACTTACACATGGCTCAAACATGATTAAATAGTCATAAATACTGATTGACGAGGCAAATAATTACACAGATTATCAGTAAAAGCCATAATAAAACGTATATATATGTGTTCAAAACTTATGATAGTATCAGCTATACGTCACCGACTGTTAAATTCGTTGGACCGAGTCGTAAACTATACATGGTTCAACTTGTTTATCGTATATCATTAAGTAATCATACTGTTTGGTGAGGCAAATAATTATCATGAACGTATATATTTGGCAAAACTTTATTTCATCAAATGTATATCATTGAAGACCTGATAAAAATCTGAGACTATACCAATATAATTATTTTTAGATATTGATAGGCATTATAAATATATGGGCAAATATTGGTCATATAGACGTAAAGAAGTATGACAAAAATGTTTTGCTGGTGATGAAATCGTTTTTCATCTGCAATTAAGAAATTCGTCATTTTCATTTTTTTTTTTTTTTCGTGTAAAAACAGGCTAGTTCTACTTATACAATCGTAAGCTAATTGCCCGGAAGAAGAAAAAAAATGATATGACAGTACTTTATGAAAGGTTGCTCATGTCAAAAACGAGATATACCAACGCATGCATGTTTAACGGGTTGTGTAGTTAAAACACGTTCACATTTAACCAGTTAACAATTAACGCGCTAAGTAGTTTTTCTTTTATCGCGTTTTAACAAGAACGGCTCTTCATAGTCATTAATTTACACGTGTGCGGAAGGTTATGAGGAAGTAGCGCTGGCCAAAAAGGCCCTTTTTTAGGAAACAGTGTCATCTTGATCAGTGATGCGGATAAATACTTCAGAAACTTAATGCATTTTATAGAAACGCGGCAGATTTCTCTCTTCAGTTTTTTTGTGACGGTTTTCCGACTTTAAACTAATTTTCTAGAGAACAAATGTACACGTTATTGCTATTGAAATGTGTGGAATTTGAGGAGAAAAAAACAACCTTTAATGACAATGTTGCACGTGTAAGGATGATTATCGGCTGCTGATGTTGACAAGTTTATTGATTGATGAGTTCATACTTAATTGGATTTGACATACAGGGTCACGAGGGTAAAAATAAAGCACAGGTAAATATTGGGAGTGCCAAAACGTGCAGGCATACAAGTGAAATAAACAGTATTATGACCCTTTATTCATTTTCTGATACCAATGTTTTTTTCTGAGGGCTGTGGACTATTGATTGGTACTTAATACTAGCAGCTGATTATCGACCGACAGTAGCTCTAAAGTAACTGAAGAGTATAGGAAAATGATACCATACACTGTGCTATACCGGTATTATGTTAGTGGTCGTCTAGCTTAGCGCTGAGGGAATTTTCCTCTAGCTCAATTTGGTACAGCGATGGACTGAGAAGCTCGGGGTCGCTGGTTCGATCCTCGCCTGAAGCGCAAGTTTCTCTCTTCCCTCTTAAAAAACGCAAAACATGGATCGAAAGTCGAGAAAAAAATAATGTATGTTTGAATTCATGATTTTATGAAAATATGAGCACATTGGAGACTAATGAAAAAGTATATTTATTATCTATTCTTAAATTTATATTATGATAATGATTATTTTTACTATCTGTGTGCATGGGTATCATATTATACCTCGACCAATATTTCCCCTTTGTATAAATTTAATTCGACACGAAAAATATTTATGATTTACTTTCCTATAAATCTCGGGTTGAAATATCGATTTTTCAGAAAAGTGTTTGTTTGATATATCTATATCTATATTACGCATGTAAAACGAATGAAATGTGTACAGATACCTCTCCCTATTTCCCAACTCTCCATCAATTTTGACACATGAAGATATTTATGATTTGAAAATAAAAACCCGCATTTTCTGCTACCATATACTAAAAACTCGACAATAAATTGCACACACAAATAAAAATGACTACAAAGTTAACGGTAAAATACAATCAATTGTAGATCTTCAAGATAAAAATCGCATGGACGTTTTTTATTTGACACATAACTTATTCGTTTGCTTACTATACCTACATTGTAAAATAGACTCTCCCTGTACATAACTGTCTGACAACAAAAGCACGAAGCGGGGCTAATGATACGTCGGCCTATATTACGATACAAGACTATCTTGTGTAATGTAGGCACACACACACTACTGTCGATTCCTCTCAAAGGCAGCTGCCAAGCTCAGCCGAAGCGAAATCTATTTCAAACTCCGCTATCAAGCCAACTGATCGACAGTGGTTTCCCTCTCCGCCATTTATAGTGTGAACAAAGAGAAAATATCCACGATTGAAAAGCTGTCGGATTTTTGACACTGACGAAAACGTCGTCTGCGCTTCGGACGCTTTTTCTATAAACAATATCACAGCCGGAGTATTTTTGATTGTATTTCTCGGGGAAATAAATGCATACAACACATAGACCATTGGTAAATTGTATTTGGTATAGAGCTGTATGTAGTTAGCGAACGTTTACATGGGTGAGGCAATGTATCATATGAATATTTGTTTGATCATTATAAAAAAAATATTGACAATGATCATTGGTTTAGATGTGAAAAAAATGTATCAAAACAAAGCTTGCTCCTGATATACAGGTTGCCGACAGGGTTTCTTCTGTAACGTTCCATATATAAGAACTTGTTTTTTTTATATGTAAGGATATATTTAGAAATGTCTATGTGACACAATAAAATAAAACTAGAAATATATATATACATGTATATATATACATCACACATATTATACACACTTGAACAGCTAGTGTTGTTGACAGTCTATAAACTCCGCTATTTCTCTTGATTGTTTGTGAAATAATGCCACACATGGTATGTACGAGATATGTACAAATGTACAAACTGACCACCCGTTTTATAAAATGTCCAAAAAAAGGTGTTTATATCCCATGTAAATATCTGTTTCCGCGTACACGCATTGTTTGCAATATCGCTGTGACGTCACGATTTCGACTCGCACCACATGCGCTCAGCCCTAAAACCGACTCTATCCTTCCATTTTCTTTGGAAAAGAAGACGCGAAGACTATTGCGGTAAATTTCTTTAATTTTTCACAATATCTTGCAGATTTTGTCCCAGTGTGTCCACCAACCCTTCACCATGTGTAAAAAAAACGGTATTATGACCAATAAGCGTGTGCTCCCGGTGTTATCCATTCAGAAAAATTCACACAACAACAATGTTGTTCATCAAATCTTTATAGATTTCCCTGTTGTCTACCGGTGTTCGTTAATTCGACTAAATGACCACGAATTGACCAGATAAGGCCCAGATATTGTCACTAGGGGTTAGGGGACAGTCAGACCTTTCTATACATATGTTATTTGATGGTGTTCATCAATGTTTACATCGAGAATTAGCGCGTGCAATCTGGAGAAATTTTTGTCGCGGCCTCTCGTTGAAGTCGGTTTATACATATTGACGATTATTTCTCTCGCTCCCACATAGCATTATCATTCCCCGACATATTTAGCCGCACATGCCTTAGATTTGTGGCGAGTTTCTTTGTCCGGGTCTCTCGACTTACACCTTGAAAACATCGACGGAATTTGGACAAATGAGGTAAATTAGTATTGTTTTACCTAAGTTGAACGATTGATAAATGTTGGAGAGAGATGCTTTACTCGGTTATCGCCTATTAATGCATACATTTCTTGTATCGGTTTGCGATACTCTCCGTTTATTACAGCACAGGCAGCAAACCCGTGGTAGCCATGTTTTTACTTTGGGAATAATAATTTTCTCAAGATTAGCCACAAATGATCAACTAGGAAACATACAGGTAACATGGGGCAGGTTTTCACAATGGGATAGTGTTTTATGTTTTTGTGTTACCAGTGTATTTAGACTATGGGGGAGGTTTTGTTTGATTTGATTTTCAGTAGAATCTATTGTTAATTACATATACTGTTAGTAATATATTTCTTTCGCCAGTAAGGTTTGTTGATCCATGGTAGTGAATACATTAGATCACTGTTTATCAACCAGCTCTGTGTCTCGTTTGTTTCATTTTATTTGGAGTTCACTATTCAGCATTTTGTTCTTGTATTTTTCATGACCAGTCATATTTTCATTTCTGGATTGTCTAAATTCTGTTTATGTGTGAAGACCTATAGATTTCAGTTCTCATTCTTGTGTTTATTGCTTTTAATTGATCCGAGATTTTGAATCTTAAAAAAAATATTGATGTATTTGTCTTTTGAACTTATTTGCACATAAACATTTTTGCTTTGTTTATAAAAGTGTATCATGGAGTATTTTCACCATTACATGTCGGTATCAGTATGGTTCTGTGTTTTTTATTTTGCTTTTAAACTCAATTGCTAATAATTAATTAACGACAAACAATTGCTACGTAATTTGTATTTATTTAGCTACATGAAAATATATCGTACTGGTATAGATATATGCCTGTTTCTGTCTTCTGGAATAGATTGTCGAAAACATATTTGAGACTTACTTACTACTGTGAGCAATTTTGTTCTAGGCAAATTATTATTTTAATATTTGTTATTGTTTGTGCATGTTATATATAATTCTATTTCTCAAGATATTTTGATTGTATAACATTTTGATAACAAATCAGCAAGTTGCACAGTGCCCAATATATCATACCAATATGTGCATGTATGTTTCCCGTGCTTATATGTTAAGAAATCTGTTAACATTGAAGGGCTGTGCACTTATTTTCCTTGTAATATTATTTCTTTTAGTTTAAAATGTCTAAAAACTTTCATAATATTATTAATTAATTTCAAATTTATACATTTTCGTGTCTTTCATTACTCCTGTAGTAATTTCAAGCATTCATCATCTATATATAAAACCCACTGGCACACCACATATCCACATATCATATTCTTATGTAGTGTTATGTCAATCTGTGAAATTTGTTTTGGACCAAATACGGTGTCGCCATCAGTATAAATAGATAATATGATTGTTTATAAAATATACTTACACATTGAAGATATACATGTATACCATTATTATGAACATTCGACTCATGTCTTACAGTATATATAACTGTTATGTGAAATGCTGTATGTATTTCCCCATCTTGGTGTATTGAGTGCAAGGTCAGTACAAGTGTACTTGATGACCCCAATGTGGAGGCTGTACCGTAGCTACCCTATTGACACAATTGTGAAATTTTCCAAACTCCTGCCATCTTCTGGCTCGCTCCTCTATCCAGTTTCTTTATACTTGTCAACAGATGTCCGGTGCAGTTTTCAGTCATTTTCGGTGAATTTGATTTATATTTGATTTATATTAAATAATATGTAGAACATTAATTTTAAAATTTTAAAATTTGAGATGGATATTGTTATGCATAATTGATGTACATATATTCTAATTGAGTCCCAGTTACCTTCTTTCCCAACCCCGTCTCTCCCCAGTCCTCCCCCGAATTTATTTTAAGATCGGCCATTATGTTGGTAACATCCTGAACTAAAACCACTATAACTTATGTCATGGACCTGGTGAGATGCATGAATACTGTGTTTTAAGTCACCTCTATTTTTCCTTTGTCCTGGTTATACAAGCAGTCATTTTCATGACGGCTATAGTTTAGAGTGCTACCGTAAATTTCATCTCATTTATAGATAAAAATGATCAAACTAGGCTGTTTTATAAAAAAAGATGTCTCTATCAATACCTGAAATTTCATATTGCATTCAAATTACGTTATTGATGGTTTAATTAACACCATCATAACTAAAAAAATAAAATTGATTGCTTCAAGAAATTGCATAGAATTTTATTCATGTAGCTCTCAAACTGTTGCTAAATCTCACTAATCGAGCATGGTAATGCTAATTAAAGGACGAGTACAACAAAATGTTGCTAATTGATATTGTGCCCCTTGAGTATTATATGAGGAAGTGCTCAAACTGACGGGAATGGTTCTTACCGGCTACGTGCATCATTGCAAGCAATCCGGCCCTATTGCACTGACATAGATCACATGTGATCGTAAGTGCTATGTCAGATTATATCGAATGCACATACACACATGTACATTATGTATATACCGGTATTATATATAAAAATTCAAAGGTCAATTTGATTTAAAACTCCATGATGTATGTATTAACATGTACTGACAATGCTGGTACGTTCCTTTCACACTGGTTTGTAAGATAAAGGGGTTTTGTCTGTTTTGCTAAAAATTCTACTTTTTTGTTTCACTTAAAATTCCTGCTGTGGCAATGAAGTATTATGTGGATAAGATCAGTATTATGTAGGATGTAAACGAAGAATCAGTTTTATTTAGGACACGGACGAAGAATCAGTATCATCTATAGGACACGGACGAAGAATTAGTGTTATATAGGACACGAACGAAGAATAAGTGTTATATAGGACACGGACGAAGAATAAGTGTTATATAGGACACGGACGAAGAATTAGTGTTATATAGGACACAGACGAAGAATTAGTGTCATATAGGGCACAGACGAAGAATTAGGTGTTATATAGGACACGGCCGAAGAATTAGTCTTATATATGACACGAACGAAGAATCAGCGTTATTTAGGACACGGACGAAGAATAAGTGTTATATAGGACACGAATGAAGAATAAGTGTTATATAGGACACAGACGAAGAATTAGTGTTATATAGGACACGAACGAAGAATCAGCGTTATATAGGACACAGACGAAGAATTAGTGTTATATAGGACACAGACGAAGAATTAGTGTTATATAGGGCACGGACGAAGAATTAGTGTTATATAGGGCATGGACGAAGAATAAGTGTTATATAGGACACAGACGAAGAATTAGTGTTATATAGGGCACGGACGAAGAATTAGTGTTATAGGACATGGACGAAGAATTAGTGTTATATAGGACATGGACGAAGAATTAGTGTTATATAGGACACGAATGAAGAATTAGTGTTATATAGGACACGAATGAAGAATTAGTGTTATATAGGACACGAATGAAGAATTAGTGTCATATAGGGCACGGACGAAGAATTAGTGTTATAGGACATGGATGAAGAATTAGTGTTATATAGGACATGGACGAAGAATTAGTGTTATATAGGACAGGAATGAAGAATTAGTGTCATATAGGACACGAATGAAGAATAAGTGTTATATAGGACAAGGACGAAGAATTAGTGTTATATAGGACACGAATGAAGAATTAGTGTTATATAGGGCACGAATGGAGAATTAGTGTTATATAGGACACAGACGAAGAATCAGCGTTATTTAGGACAAGGACGAAGAATTAGTGTTATATAGGACACGAATGAAGAATTAGTGTTATATAGGACACGGACGAAGAATTAGTGTTATATAGGACACAGACGAAGAATCAGCGTTATTTAGGACACGAATGAAGAATTAGTGTTATATAGGACATGGACGAAGAATTAGTGTTATATAGGACACGAATGAAGAATTAGTGTTATATAGGGCACGAATGAAGAATTAGTGTCATATAGGACACGAATGAAGAATTAGTGTTATATAGGACAAGGACGAAGAATTAGTGTTATATAGGACACGAATGAAGAATTAGTGTTATATAGGACACGGACGAAGAATAAGTGTTATTTAGGACACAGACGAAGAATCAGTGTTATGAACAAAATAAACAAAAGATTGGCAGGAATAAAGAATCAGTGTTATATAGGACACAGACGAAGAATCAGTGTTATGAACGAAATAAACAAAAGATTGACAGGAATAAAGAATCAGTGTTATATAGGACACAGATGAAGAATCGGTTACGAACGAAATAATCAGTGCTAAGACATGAACAAAGTATTGTGATGTTTTTCAGATTGCTGTAGACATTCGCTCCCTCATTTTCCATTGGATGTCTCTAGGGTTCGATTGGTTGTTCAGGTCTAGTGATGTCTAGGTATGACACAAGCTGTCCGTATTATATAACAGCTTCAGTTATATGACGATGTTGACCACAGAGTCTGATGAATGGGTTATTTTTCAAATGCAGTCGCACTGAAATGTCATGATATGGATATGATAGCATGACATCCCACCCGGTCACATGACAACAGGCCTCTCCCCAGGTTTTGTAACACTTTCCGTCTGTGATATACACTTCCACACAGCAGCTCCAGGTGTGACTCCAGGTGTACTCTTAGGTGTCATTCTAGTGCTTACTGTGTACATCACCACCATCGATAAATTTTACCTACTTTAATCTTCGGGCAAAAATTTCTGCTTCAAATACATGTACTATTTTTAGTTTTAAGAAGTTCATTTCTATTCTATCTTCATCAACTACGTATTATTAGGAATCCTTCAATGTCTACTATTGGGCCCTATCTGCTGGTTGAATTCTCTAGGCCCTGTGTTGACCAGCGAGGGAGGATTAAAAGCGTGGAGGTTTATTTCCAGACGTATTGTTACCAGCTAATTCCCTCATCTTGTCTCTGTGTTTGTGATGTGTTTATTGATTTATTGAGAGGAACTCAGTGCACTTTGATATGATACATGTTGGAAACACACAATTACAGCTCTGTTCACATTACTGCACCTGTGGTTTCATTAGCAGATTATTGGCACACAACATCTGATTCTGTACATTATCAATCACCTTGGCTGTCAGAGATCATTCCTATTTCTTTAGAGGTCATCAAAGATCATTCCTATATCTTAAAAGATCATGAAAGATCATTCCTATATCTTAAAAGATCATGAAAGATCATTCCTATATCTTAAAAGATCATGAAAGATCATTCCTATATCTTAATTATATATAAAAGATCATGCAAGATCCTTCCTATATCTT